TCATTATCGTTATTATTATTATTAAGCGATCCAACAAGGAGGTAATAAATCGTAAAAAAAGGATTGAAGAGGATTATACTCCTAAGAACTTTCCAATTTTTGCTGTGCGTCTCAAATGATAAAATTAGGACTTGTAGACGGCATTTACATGCCAAGACATAAGCGGCAATCAGAGACAGTGTTCCAATCTTCTACAGACCAGTCCTTTTTTCTCTTTCCGTTTCGTTGTTTTGCTGCTACTCTTTCTAACCCCACTTTCTAAACTGATAGCACACCGCAATAACGTATCAACCAGTCTGCACACTGTTATATAAAAATAGAGACCTTTAGATTTAAGGACAAGAACGACTACCAGAGCGAGATTTGACTTCATGATCTTCTTAAAGATCTCTATTATTTGTAAGTCGTCTCCCAACTGCTTACCGATTCTTCGTTCTGAACGACTCGAGTAAGATGTCGTTTCAAGTGTACACAGCACAAGAATCTTTCCAAGGGCGACAGCATGACCGGCTGACTACGCCTGATTGAAGCCGAAGTCATTGGCGCTAGGCTACACAGCTTGGTAAATGCTGAATGCGATAAAATTGTTGGAGCGGCGGCAGTCCACGTTCTTGCCGTGAGTTGTCGTGGCGGAGTGGTTGCCTGCCTTTGAGCAGCTCCTGTCGACGCCTGAGAGCTTGGTGATGGTCTATTAAAGATATTAACAAAAAGTCGTTTACACTAAAAGTTGGAACAAATAAAAACGATACTTTCTTTCTCAAAATTAAACGCGTAACATTAACCAACTAAAACAATTTTCTGCTTTACTCTATTTCCTCGTCCCCAAAATCACCACTGACCTTTAAGTGGATCAATTTTTCACCTTCCGACACGAATCACTCAGTCTTCAGTTTGGTTTGTACGCTCAAGTCATATTTGGAAACAAACTTTTTACAAGAGATAACATCTCAAACCATACATCGTGCTTTGTTTGCTGCATAGTTATTAACTAAAATAAACTCTGCAGATGGGCTGTTTGTGTGCCAGAGAAACAGTGAAAAAATCCAAGGGTAGAGCCGCTCGTTAAAACAATATACAGAATCTGACTTGAAATACACTACGTTAAAATAGAAAGTTCTTGAATTAAAGCAGCATGGCCGAGTGGTTAGAGAGATGGACTCGTAATCCGGAGGCCCCGAGTTCAAGTCCCGCCATGGCCGCTTTCTGAATTTGCTCTCGGTAATCCCCAGTTCTTTTCCACGCTTGTGAAATAGTCAACTAGGTCACCTCCTATCAGCTGGGATTCTTAATCATGTTATGTTCCATTTGAACACTTTGTTTTATTATCCCTGAAAAGCCCCAAAAGGGGAAAGGATAATCAAGTATTTATTTATTTACATAATGCAAGTGCCATTTGGAAAAACCGAGCAGCGGAGCGAAGCCGATTTTGGTGTAGATCAGGATCAGCAATATTGAGTAAATCTTGGTGAACCAAAAACCAGGCTGAAGGGAGAGCTAGAGAGGGTCCTTTCATAGATAGAATTAACCACTAAACAATTTTTGTAGTCGCCATGGTCTCCATACAGTACGACTGTAAACTCTTTAGTTTGTAATTAAGAGGTCTCAGAATAGATTGAGAATCCTCTTTATGTCAGATTGGGCGAGCAACAATAACTGCAGTGTGCAGTACAGACAGATCAAAGGCTTACCTGAACTTTGTAGCCTGACCAGTTCCAGTAAATTGCGGGGACATTGGCCAGGACCCTGGTGACGTAACAGGCATGTTGTGAGAGAAGGCTGGGGAGGAGCCGCCTAATGCAGGAGACGGAGTGGCAAATTGGTGACTTGTCGCTGGAGACACCACAGAAAGACCAGATGAGCCCGCGGGAGACAGGGCAGCAGCTGGTGAAGGTTGTAGAAGAGCTGAAAGCTGAGTAGCTGTGGTTTAGAAATAAAGAACTGTCTTCGTTGTGCAATCGAGAGAACTGATATCTTGAACGTGAATAAGGTCAAAGGATTTCCCTGTTCAGATAAAACTCATCGAACGAGACAAATCAGAAAAATAATAATAATAAAAACTTAGACAGCTTTCCAGTGATGCTTTTTGTTACGCTACACGAGGAGTTTAGAATTTGCACTTCTTCAGTAAAAAAGATTTGACCGTCTGCTGACCAGAACTTAGCACCGTAGATAGGCTACTACACTGTTAAACTTTCATCGCTCATGAATTAACAAACTCAAAGACGTAACTTGTTCTATTTGGCGTTTATGTTACATGAGCTTTTTTCAATTTCGCGTCTCAACAATGGAAAGAGCCATACTCTAATATTTTTGAAAAACTTTGATCGACTTACTACTTAGTAAAAATCAAGCCTGCAAGTAACCAGGCATTTACAAAACAGCAATTAGCGAGAAAAATCTGACAAAAAATAGCATAGCGGGCGTCATGGATATGCTATTGAACTCAAAGCTAGCTTACTCTATCGTAACAAAAGACAGCATAGCAATCATGAATGGAAGAACTGTATGTGACACAGAGAGAAAAAGGGATGGAAAGGAAGGTTAGAAACAGACAAGTCGAGATAAACCAGCGATTTATCGAGTCTCCAGCTGAGGCAACGTATGGAATCAACATGCCTGCTGCTTAGCTCCAAGCGACAAGTTACACACCAGACCACTACGTCTCCAAACCGCCAAATATGATAGAAAAACGATATAAAGATGGTTTACAAAACAGAGCAAAGCAACATCATTTGAAGCAGCTGCAAAGATGTAGGAAACAGGCAACGTATGAACAGATGAACGAAACACACCAGGCAGCAGCTTTCTTTAACTTGTCAAGTCAAGCAAAAGCAAACAGATAAAAAAAAAAACGTTATATCAAACCTAAATCCAAACATGAAATTTTTATTAGGAAATATAAAAGTAAGAACATAATACGGCTAATGAGCACTGGTTATCCCAATCTGCTATCGACGTTTGTAACCTAGTTCCGGGAAAAATAAGCAATTCTTGGAAAATTTACTTGCAAACACCTTGCAAGTCACCTAATGCGATAGATGATTACCAGTTAGAGTCTGTAAGGCTAAGTTTAATGTGTATGTCCTTTCCCTTCTACCAGTTCTGTTTTGGAAACCCACTCTTTTTCCTGACTCTGCTTTCTTCAATTCCTCTGCTTCACTAAATCACGACCAGTTATAAACGAGACCAGAAAAGAAGAGGAATATTCTCTCTAAAGAGTTCTCATACTGGTCCAAAGCATAATAGCTTACTGTATAAACAACGCAAAACTACCTGGAGAGCCAACACCATAGATATTACCCGGGCTGTTTACGCTCGGTGAAGAAGAAAATGGCGAGGGAACACTCATTGAGGAAGGGGGAGCCTGGGGCGAGGTACGCGAGATCATGGGTGAAGGTGTTAGATTGGCGGTTTGCATAGGCTGTGGTGACGTAAACTGAGGATCAATGACAGGTACATCTGTTTCCATGGCAATAGGTGAGGGTGGCGCTTCATCATCTGCTGTAGAGGCATGACGGGAAGTTACTCCTCCAACTTTGGCAACTTCATCAACATATAATTGAAGGAAGACCTAGAGAAACCGAACGAAAAATACAGAAATAGAATATACAGGCGACTATGAACTAAGGGTGGATATAAGAAGAAATACTAAATCTAACAAAGAAAAGGGCGAAAAACGTCAACAACAACATCGATAAAGACAACAACAACTTAAGAGTTTTCTGATACTTCTGACAGTAACGCCATTCTTCTTCAACGGACTTAATTAAATGAAGAAACAAAACTTGTCACAAAACTGTAAAATTCCGAAAATAAGCCCCGGGTTCGCATTCGGATGGGTTTCTCTATGAGGTGGTTTCTTAAAAAAGAAAAATTGCGTTACAAAATCGATTGGGCTTGTAATCAGGGGCAAGTGTGAGTTGGCAATATTTCAATACGCTTCTGATAGTTACCGGGAAGATACTCAATTTTCTAAGTTTGGCTTTCCTCATTATAGCTTGTTTGTACTACTTATATTGTGCAGCAGGATTTGGATGTGATCGTTGTTTAAAAACACCAACAAACCTTTAAATTTTGAATCGGTGTAAAGCCAGGTTTGTTCTTGCTGGGGTCCACTAGACTGTATGAGGCATCTAGTGACACAAGATATGTCATTAGCTGTGATTAGTTTAATTACACCGATGAAGCCTATAGTTCATTATAAATGACTCTAAAGACCGACTAAAACTTCAGTTATATAATTCTAGAATACAACAATGAATACAACAATGATGTCCACCGCATTGAAACCAATCCAAGCTTAAAACTACAGGCACTCAAAAAGACTTCGGTACACGGGCCGGTACACGGTGATCTTCCACTTCCTGAAGTTTCTACTATATTGAGGAAACCTATCGCCACGTAAGTACGGTATATATTAAGATATTACATTTGCTATAGGGACTGTGCAATAATTATCAGGAGGGGGGGGGGCATTACATAAAATTGCTGCCAAGATAGGGGGGCTCAAAGTAAAATCACTCATTTGACGGAGGGGGGGCCTTAAGTTTTATTCGAAATGTAAATAAAATTAAACGCAATAAAAGATTCTCAATACAGGCATCATGATAGACTGTAACAAATATCAACACGAACAGCTGTTAAACGATTATTGAAAATATTCCATCAAAATGAAAAGCAAATTCACAACTGATCAATTTTAACCCGTCTTCTAATTAATTGAGCTGATCCTGTGTAAAGCAAAAATCATGAACTTGTTTTTCAGCTTCCCCCATAAAACAATGGGAATCAAACCGATCTCGTAGACAAGCTTTGTCGGTTTTTGATGTGAATAAAAGTAATGTTTCTTCATCGACTGAATCGATTTGCTGAATTCTATATATATGTGGCTCATTTCAACAGGCTCTCCTCCCAAGGATCGTTCTTTTTCGTCTGTTATTTGTTCAATTCTGTTCTTTTTTTTTTTTCTCCTTTCTCTTTCTGGCTTCAGAATTTTTTAGATTTTGAGCCAATGTGGTAAACACCCCGGTACTTAGCAAATGCTTTGTCTAAATCTTCAATCAAGCGATCAACATCCTTCTCGATACTAGATGTTACATAATAACGTTTATCATTATTGAAGCTGTGATTGCAGCTCAGTCCAGTTTTGAGTTTACCAGTGTGGTGGGGGGGGGGGGGGTGCGACGTTATTTTTAACATAACAGAGGGGGGGTTAGAACTAATTTTTTTTGTTTTGGAGCGGGGTACTGTCTAAGTTTTTGCTAGATAACTCTAGTTTTTCAGCCCCCCCCCCTGATAATTATTGCACAGTCTCTTATAAGGAATAAAATACTTAAGGTGCTAACGCTATAACTACGTAAGTGACGGAAATTTCTTTTTTTGTATTCACGCCAATGTCGGTGACAAAAATCGATTGCCCTTCAAACCCTTGCGTTTTTTACCTACGTACTTACAATCTTTTATTTGGTAATTTAGAGTATAAATGTTCATTATTCCGTTACCTCTGATAGCAACAAGGTTCTTTGCTCGAAAACGAACTTCTAACGCGTTGCTGAAGAACAGTGTCAAGAACGAAACAAAGTTCTTTTGAAAAGAAACAAAACCTTAATGCTCTAATTCTAAACATCATCATGATCATCATCATCATCTTTATCATCATCTTTATCATCATCAAAAACGTGAATTGCGCTCGTTTTGCCCGGAAGTCGATTCTACCGGATACCAAAAACGTCACCGTGTCTCGTTTGTGAAACAGTCGTCTCACCATTGAGGGGGGTGGATGGCTTAAATCAGCAATGACAAAAGGACTTGGCAATTCAGTCTAAAATGTTGTAGTTTGCACAGGTTGGCGAGTGAACTCCTGGGCCTGCTTCTTCGAAAGATAGTTGAGTTATACCCAGGATTAAGCCAAATTTTAAGCACGGTTTTCAGGTCTAAGAACATGTAACTCAAGCTTACAAAATACTGTTGAACCTTTACTCTGAGAAACAGTAATGATAACATCAAATGTTACTCCAAGCAATGCAAAGGAAGGTAAATGCAAAAGGTGGAACAGAACTGCAGTCCTGGATTAGTGCTAATCGGCCTTTCAGGAACCGGGCCGATGGCACTAAAGGCCTTTAAAAACAGCCAAACAAACACTTTTGTTCTCAGTTCACGGGACAACGAAGGCTTAAGCTTCGCTCAACCTGAACCAACATAAAAAAGGATACTTGTTCCTGTAGACCAGTAACACATGCGTAGATGACTGGGGAAGAACTGCAAACTTCCTGAAGGACATGTGTGGACGCTATAAAACAAAACGATGAGTAATATTACTATAGACGAGCGAGCAGTTCACTTATACCAAAAACCACAAGTAACGTAAATACTCGAATTTGCACCCGAAGCGCTAATTTAGTTTTCTAAGTCGAGGGGGTGGCGGGGGAAGCTAATTTGAAGGGGGCGCCTATTTCGTTTTTTAAATTTCGAATTCTGCCTCAACATGACGTTTTCTTTGTTACCTAGTAATACACACTGTGACAGTAAACTGACGAAACACAATTCTGTGTGGTCGGTCTGAAAGTCCTGTTTCCTCTGAGGTCCTCTAGGTTCCTCCATTCTACGCCTTTTCCACAAATTCAGTGTCGTTTTTTATGGAAGGTTGGGCGCGCACTTATTTAATCAATTTTTAGACTCAAGGGCACACTAACTAGTGGAGGGAATTTATTTGTAGGAGGGCGCTAAATCAAGTATTTTCGGTACTTCACGCGCTTGCAAACCTTCCTCACGTCACACTGACACTAAAACAGAAACATAATATTCCAAATACACACGCCACAGGAACACTAAATTTTAAAACTCACAGTCACTTGTATTCCAAGCGTGGGTTTGGTGCTAAGTTTCGCTATGGCAGAGAGTGGACGGAAAGTGTCGTGAAGGATCTGAAAAGAGATAATGATCGATGTTTAGCCTTTACGAAGCATGACAGGTATTCAGTTGTATTGACCAACAAAAACAACTGCGTTTAATTATACACAATTTCAGTGCCCCTGGCATACTTTGTCACACCATTAATACTTAGACGTCGGGTTTCACCAGGGTTCATACAAAATTTGCAACCACTTTTCAAGGACCACCTACTAGGAATACAATTTCACAGATTCTACAAAAATGCACATCCCCAGTGTATTCTAATAAGTCTCTAAGGCTTGAACTGTTTGCTTCACCAACTTCTCTACATTTTTCAGTTCACTTGTCTCAAATTGATAGTCAATTATTGCATAAAACATTGAGCACTTAGTGTAAATAACCTTTAAATTCTCTGAGCTATGATTCATATCCTGTCCTGGACAACCAAAAAGCATAAAAAAAACCACTTTTTAGGCCTTTCAAAGTAGAAGAAAATTCAAGGACTTTTCAAGGACTTGCATAGAAATTTAAGGACTTTTCGAGACTGTGCGAACTCCGTTCACAAACAGTCCCACAACAGATTAAATCCGAGGATATCTTCAAATATTTCCTTTAAACTTCGGTCGATGGAGGAGGAGGCAAGAGAAAACTTAACGCACCACAAACGAAAATCACACCCAAAAACCGCCTGCTACGCATGTTATAATTCAAAAATCTGAAGGATAAGCAACAGAAAAGAAGTTTATTGGTAGTGCTTACTTTAATAGTTCACCTGCATCACAATAAAATTTTAGCCAACAAGAAAGTTGGGCTATTTTAATTTCCTTGTTAATTGATTCCAATACAAATCTTTACTCCCATTATTCTATCGCAATATTGTAAATCATTTTACACACTTGATTTGAAGATAGAGTAGAGACTCTTTTCATTTAATACCTGTACAATGTAGGGAAGACTTTGATGTTTGTTAAACTCCTGTTGTAGGTGCTTGGCAGTTGTACTGTGTGGATTGGCACTTAGATACGGACCACAGTACCCAAATGTCAATACAAATTCAGACTGCTCCACGGACCATTCAAACGTTACCTTCAATAAAACGATAAAAACGCACTGCTATGAATCCGTCAGAAAATGTAGCAGTTCACGGGGAGAGCATTCACCTCCCACCAATGTGGCCCGGGGTCAAATCCCGGCCTCAACGCCATATTATGTGGGTTGAGTTTGTTGTTGCGTCTGTCGCTTTTTTCCAAGAGGTTTTTCTCCGGGTACTCCGGCTCTCACCACTCCTCAAAAATCGACATTTCTAAATTTCAATTCGACCAAGAAAGGTAGACGAAGAGCCACTATGTGGATGTGCTACCTCTAGATCGTTATTTATTTATTTATTTTTTTTCGGATGCTCTCATAAATGTATTGGGTAATAGGGTTGACCAACAGTGCTTCATTATATTAAGGGTGCGTTCAGTTAACCTTATTCTGGAATACAAATACGATGCGTATTCCGGATTAGTAAACTCCAACTACTCTGGTCTATTATCAATGCTGCGTTCTGATTGGTTGAGCTACTACTAGGCTATATGTTATAGCCCACTAGTAGCGAAAAGCGCCGGCTTTGGAGACCAAAACAGTGGCGGCTGAATCTCGTTTTGCTAGCTAAAGCTGTTTTGTCTCGATATTTTTGACGAACTAGCTGGATTTTACTAAAACAATTATTCCTCTCGCCCTCATGGCCGCTGAGTCAATAGCCCATTCGGCCGACTCAGAGCCCATTCGGGCTCGAGGAATAATTGTTAAATATCTGTTCGATCAACCTGCTATTCCACTTCCGGAGTAATTGGGATATATTCCAGACATTCTGCCCTCGGCAGCAGAATGCTTCATGGAACAACAAATGGAATAATGACGTCATTTCCTAGCGTTTCCGCCGATTTTCACGACAACAAAGAAACTGGGATCAATTTAGGTTTCTGGGAAACTGCCCACCTACCCCTCCCCTAAGCCAACATTTTGCCCTCAACGAGAAGTAAGTGTTAATGTTGGCTTAGGGGAGGAGTAGGTGGGCATTTTCCCAGAAACTTAAATTGATCCAGAAATTGAACCAGAAAGATCAGACAACCAGCGGTAAAAGGTAACTAAATGCTTTGGAGCAGAAAAGACACTCTTTAGTGGAGAAAGCAATAAACCTTGTCCTGAACTTCTCAATCGGCATAACCTTTAATGCGTTTAGCGTCAATGAGCTGTTTAAAGGGGCCATGTCATGATTTTCTGGACTAACTTCAAGACTTCCCAACAAATTGGAATGATAGAAAGCTCTGAAATATTTTTCATTTAAAATTACTCGTAAATATAAGGGTATGTCTTTGAATTTTTTTGGAGGGCCACGGTGGATGATCTTGGCACTTTTAACACCTATGTTGTCGAAAAATGACCAAAGCCCTACTTATTTTCGTTTTTTCTTTGTCAAAATCATTTGATTTCTTTCTTTTAGAGTTCTAGATATGACAAAAGATGAGTGAGAATTCTTAGTTATAACTTCAGCCAAGCTTAACCAAAACCAATGGAAGTCGCCATAACACTGCCCCTCTAAAATATAATATAATAAAAAATACAGGGCAAGATATCACGAATACCCCAACCTTCCTGCCCCGAATCTTCCTAGAGAATTTCAATTGCCATTTCAACATCAATGGTTGTTGATACATCGCTGCGGGTTCATGATGAACAAAACGCGGATCATTAACCGTTAACTGGAAAAAAAACTTGTTTTTTTGATCAAGGCTATTCCGAAATTATCCTATTGCGGCATAAGGTCACTGATCGAACGTTCAGTAATGAACTTACCAAACTTTGCTTGTCAGGGTCATACTGCAGGGTCAGTTGCTTGTAGTTGTAGGAATAAACACGGCACATATGACGAAAATGACTCTGTGAATCTGGTAAAAACAATTATACCTAAACATTAATAATTCATGATTGTTATCAGCATTACTCTCTTGCCACAGCCAGTCTAACTATTGTGTTAGGAAGCAGGAAAAAATCACAAATTTAAATAATATCACGTACTGATCTTAGGGTACCATATTGACTGTAAAAGTTGGCAAAAATTATAAAATCAATGGAAACTTATTTCAGGCCAAAGCTGTGGTAAAGGGTTTTTACTCAGAGGCATAAGCAAATTAATTACAGACTGAAATGATAGGCAACTCGCTTAAATTGTGTAGAGAAAACAATTAATTTCCCCTCAATTCCAGTTTGAAAAGTCCAGGGGCCCGTTTCTCGAGAGTACCGGTAACTTTTGGGGCCCGAAATCAAACATTCGAATCGAAAAACAAAGAATAAGGGTGCGGGTCCTGGCTAGCAAACTACTCCATTTTGTTTCACTAACTGATAGTTTTATCATGTTAGATGCATGTAAACAACAACAGCTTTAGGGGGCGGTTAATTATTGAGGCTTTCGAGAAACGGGCCCCAGATTCTGGTTTGCAGACGTTTCTAAAATGTAAGAAAAAGGAGAAACCATTAGAAAATCTTCTTTTCGCTAAAAAAAAGTGCCGGCAGTTGGAAAAAAAGTTAAGAAAGCTTTTTATATACAGCCCAGTGTTCAATTTACTTTGGTTCGATCCTACAATTATTGCCTCCACAATAGTCAAAATAGTCAGAAAAGAGAATTTCTTTCCTCGTCTTCCCCTTTCTGACAGGGATTCGAACCGAGAGCGATTTTTTACAGCCTTAAATCCGGAATCGGCAACAAAATGAGTTGCGGCACTTTGCCTTCAAAGACCTTTCCCACGTTTAGCCGACACTACTCACTCCAAAAGAGAAAAAATGAAGCTTTCCCTCCCCACACCCTCTAAACAATGTCGTTTCGCTGTTTAAGCTACTTGTAAGAAACAAAAAACAACCCAACTTTGAATTGAGGGTGGGAGAAAGAGTCTGCGCTGTTTTGTTGTCTGATATGTATCCCATAAGACTATAGTGTCGTATAAATTCTGTCGTAGCCTGGGACCAGGCTCCGCATTGGGGGAAAAAGGAAAAAAAATCGACGTGGGCAAAAAAGAAATCGGCGAGCGAAGCGAGCCGAGAGGTTTTCTGAGGAGGGGAAAGGGTCGCTCGCCGATATTTTTCCTATTTGAATCCTGTTTTTAGCATTTGTCCCCCACTGCAGAGCCTGGTCCCAGGCTTTTCTGTCGCTGATTATCGGTTTTGGTGCAAATTAAATATAACAATAAAGAAAACAGCTGCAACAACTTACCTTTGAGATAGGCATCCAATTCTACAGCATGCTGATACAGCTTGCACACGCTGCACCAGTCATTCAATAGCTTGGTTACTACACCTTTGGCCCAGTTCTTCTCGGTGTCCCCTCCACTGTTTTCCGAGCTGTCCTCACTACCCAGGTCATGTACACTGTACTCAAACATCAGATGCCGTGTGCAACCTTTTTCACTGTTAGAGAGTCCTTCCAGCGGACAGTTATCCATGATCATCTCCAGAAGACAGGTTTTCTGTGATTCATCTGGCAATCGTAAGACACAATCCAGGACATTTGGTTGAAAGGATGACAAAAGCGCCGCTCCACAGTCCTTAGGGAGGGGTAGGTTAGACAATCTAACAGCCAAACCAACTCCAGCCTCTGACGTAAGGCCTTGATAAATGATCTTGTGACGACTCAGCTAACAAAAGACACGTAAATCATTAATTTTGGTAAGAATCTGCCATTTGCTGCTTAGGGTACTACAGGTTTTCTTGTGCGGCAGAATGTTTGGGGGCTGGAGAGGGTCCAAGCCATAAGCTGGCCACTATTAAAACTTAAGCGAAACTAGAAAACGCACACGAAAAGGGTAATCGTCTGAAACTCGCAAAGTCAACCTTATATTTTTCAACCAAAGGAGTCTTCATAGAACAAGTACTTTTAGCTACAGTCGAACAAAGTTGAAGTAGGTTTACGACTCGATTACCGTACAATCTTATAAGGGTAATTAGGGCAAAAAGCGGCGACGTGAAGCCCGATCTTGGCAAAAAACGCTGTTGTGAATGAACCGAGGCCCTAAGAGAACTGTCTGGGAAAGGACAGTGTACGGCAAAAAGGGGAGCACATGTGCATGACGAGCAAGTAATATTATGAATGGAACCTTTGTGGAGTCTAGAAAGTATATCATGTTAAGTAACAGTGGACTTTGCCAGAGGAGAAGGATACATTGTAATCGAACAACTAGTTAGTAGATAGATAGATAGTCTGTTTATTTCACCCACTTGCAGCAATAACTGAATTGTTGGGGAAGGTCATTGTCACATACAATTACATACATTCACTAAAATTTATAAGTTACAAAGTCATTAATTCTTCTGGTATGACCATGTTGACGTCTTGGAAGTTGGACCCTTATACTGTAATGAGACTCAATAGCGGCAGGAGAGGGGATGATGTTCTTAAGGGGGACATTTGGTGTGCAGTAGCCATAAACCGCTTACAAGCTCCAACTCTCCTGCCACTAAGAGACTCCAGGCCGGCCAAGACCAAGGCTTCCGTATAGTCTACCCGGCTTTCCGCTGTACAGACTCAATTAACTCGTCCAGATATAAAGGGATCGCAGCCCAAACTGGCGAGGCGTACTCAACAATGGATCTAACAATACTACAGTAGACTAACATGAGATCGTTGTACTTTGAACCAGTATCTACCATTACTTAGTACAAAAGCTCATTTAAATGTTGAACGTTGTGTGACAAAAGAACAGGGATACGATTGTTGCTACTAGGTCAATATGTGTGCTTTCATAGGGCATAATTTTCAGGTTTATTAACATCAGTTAATAAACCATACAGGGGCACCCAACGTCAATTTTCGGAAAATATCTGTTCGGAAGACGTTTTGAGATCTAGAATTTTCGGAACATTTGTTGTAAAATTTCTTGCTTGTCTGCCTCTCCTAGGATTTTTGAACATCTAAAAAATGGTATAATTGCCCAGTTTTAACGGATTTTTACCCTAAAAAGGTCACCTAGAATTTTCGGGGGCCTTTTTTCTGGCTGAAATTTTCGAAAAGGTAAGTTTTGATCCCTAAAATTTTCGGATCACTAGACTTTCAGTTAGGAGATTCGAACAGATGAAAAATTTTTAGGGAATAAAAATATGCTTATGTCTACCGTTTATATACGAAGATACGTTTAACAATGCTATGTTTAAGTGGTTTTGAACTATATTCTCGTTGGTTGCCCCTGACCATAAACTTGAACAACAAATTGATATCTTATTGAAAGTTCAAGTAGAGTTCAGACATTTCTGACAAGCAAAAGCTAGTGGGAGAAAGGGCTATATTAATACAAAAGGCTGGCGTCTGTCTACATGTACCTCTTCACGCAGCTGAATAAAAGGAATCCTTGCACGACAAATGGCAACCACGTGTCCAAACGTCAAGTGAAAAGATGAGTTTTCTGTTCCTTCACTTAACACATCTTGAATGGTCTTCTGTCTTTTATTACTATCCTCAGGTGAATTAAGCTTCAAAAAACAACAAAATAATACCCCAAGAATTAGAAAAAGTAACTTGAAATTACAAAGGCATTTTTTTGCTTTGTCACCGCAAAAAGACAAAAAGAAAGAAAGAAAACGGCCAGTTTATGAAAATCAAACCTGGGAAAATGTACATTCAGTTTGTATATTACACACTGAAATATCGGAAAATAACTACTTCAGATCACAAAAAGCAAACCGTATAAATAATAGCAAAACGATACACAAATGTAGAGCTGCAAATAGTTCTTGGTCTTCAGACATTGTCTGAATTAAAATAGCCCATGTCCGACGTAATCTTAATCTTGTAGAGAATATATGGCAGTGATCAGTATCCCTGCAAATTCTGTGTTTACCATGCATAATTTTTTAACTTCCCAAGACGCGCACGTAGTAAAGCGTCGCTAATTATGTACGACCAAATTAATGTTTTGTACGAATGAAATAGTGACTTTGCAGGACATATGTCGTTTGAAGGAAAAAAAATATATTTGCAGCTTGTTATTACTACCTTTCGTTTTTTACTTTCACTGCTATGACCAGTGCTTGAGATTCCTGCAGATTGAGCAAAACGGCAGTAAGCACAGGGGAGCTCTACTAACTTGTACCTGTTTAAGTGTCATCTTGGACTTCCAATATTTAATGGTGTAATAGCTGGATACCCTGCCACTTAATTCCAAGCTATACCCCAGCTAGTTCACAGGTCCTTTTAAAACACTCAAGCCCCAACATCCAAATACAGATTCTCTAGAATACTATCTTCTATACATTCCTTAGCTAAGAGATATTGACAAGATCAGAGCTTTTCCCCTTCGTTTATCATTTTATCGGTTCTCATACCTTTTTCTCTTGATCATGTATTAATATTATTAGGAGAAAACTGATGTTGGTCACTCTTTGGACTTAAGCGGTTAACACTGCTTTTTTATCATTTACCATAACTATCTTAAACATTGCTGCGGCTACAAAGCTATGCAATGTAAAAACCCAAGGTAATTGGGTGATTGTTCAACCCTTACCATTTCGTCGCTACACAAAGTACCTTCAAGTTGTGAGCCAGCAAAGTCAGTCATTTTCTGAGGGTTCAGAGTGGCCATGTGTCCAGCTACCAGAAAAAGTGGGCGCCTCTTTCGATTATTCTCTTGCACTGTGTTTCTAGCTGCTCCATCACAGCTCTGTCGTGACTGCTCCTGACTTTTCCTGCCCTCTGTCTTTACCTCTACTTTTTTGGCCTTCTGATCTCCACTGCTTGAGTCTGCTGGTGTACTCACGTCAGCTGGATCTTCTCCAAATGAGCTTTCTACTTTTGTGAGATGATACCTTGTTTTGACTTCTTCAGAGTCTTCTTCGCAGAGCACTTCAACAATCTGTTGAGTAAAATTTTAAGGCAAAAGGCGAATATAACATTTAAAGCTTTTAAATTAAGAGTAGCAGTACAGAGTAGCCACTGTTTTCAAGCTCTAAAGACCACAATTGTACAAGCTTTATTGAAGGTGAATTGACCCCAAATTGAACTGGTCCAAGATTACGCGGAATATTTAAGAGCTATTTGGACTTTTGGCTGAGGTTTTGTGTGATCCTAAGTCGGTCAGTCTTCTTACTTGTATCCTAACTTGTAACTATTTTTTAGGTTTTCGTGCAACTTCTTGGTGAAGATGTTTCCACATCACTTTTGTCCAGTTTTTAACAGTGTTTAATTTACTTCTTAGTTGTTTTTCTTTTCTGGCAGGGCACGCGTTAGCCTAGAACCGATGGTTGTATTTTGCGAGTGTATCATTGATAAACATGTACGAAGGATATCTTTGCATCAAATGACTGACTCATCACCAACAAACTTTTTAAACTGGATTTTTTGTGTAAGTGAAATCAGTATAATGGCTCCTTTATGGATCAGTTTAGAAGCAGTACTTGTATGTGGTGCTGTACAAGGCAGTTGAACATGCATTGAGTTCGGATTTGGTACTTAGAATTAAGCAACCATGATATGTACAGTTTCTACAAACCAAACAATAAGAAGGCTGTTTCTTGAAGCAGATGTACAACTTGTGCTTGCTAAGCTGAGATAACTGAGGGTGCTCTGACAAGTTGATAATTGGTAAGGACAGCGAGGCAGTCACTGGCAGCTGAGCAGTGGACTTCAGGTATCTCTTCACATACAACTGACATCTGTCGAGTCACAAACACAGAAAGAGAATAGTAAGCATGTTTACTGCAGGATGTTATGAGTGGGATCTGATTATTATTCGGTGGAATACATTGATACTAGTAAAGGATGATGCTGTGTTCTATTTGTTGTACTCAGAATAACCATTTCGACAGGTTGTAAGATTGATGATGATGTGGTTTTGATCGGCAGAATGAAATAAGGTGTTTATTGGGTGTTTGGTTTTCACTAAACAGTTAAGGTGGTTGCTAATTGTAACACAACCAACTCGTAAATCCCCATATGACAAAAAATCGACTGTGAACAATAATGTAATTATGCAAGCTTTACTTCCTGGCTGTTGATTGCATCGGTTCTGGTTCAATAATTTTTGGCGCACAAACTGTGCACGTAAATGAGGACATTGTCAATAAATAAGTTTCCACCCCCCAAAAGGCCGCGCGTGCCCCGGGTACCAGAGGTTTTTTCTCGCGTGCGAGGAGGAGCTTTGTCAGCCTCTGGCCGACAGGTCTTCGGCCAGAAACCGCGCATGAAAAGCCTCCGGCACCGGTAGGCCTCGCGGGGCAAGATGGTAAACTACTTTTCCAAGCCCACAAGTTTTTTTACCCTTCCCACGGCCGTGTAAACTGCGACCTGCCAATGATTCATGATAAACACCCGACTATGAAGCAGTGATCATGTTTACCTTGCATCTTTAAACACAGTGAGAAACTGCTCCATGTTTGCGTTCAGTATGTTCTCTAGCTCAGAGCAAATTACATTATCTGGAAAGCAAGAAACGTTACAGAATCAGATGTTACCTAAAGACGATGTATGCTCCCTTGACTTTCTTTTCAGATTATAACTTCTCCCTGGTATTATTTTTCTTCCCTCCGTTTGTTTGGCTGGGCATAATGATTTAGGTACTAGACGATACTTTGGTGTAAAGAAAGTGCAAAAACACAAAGTTGTTGAAGGAATTAAAAGAACAAGTTTTTCCAGAGGGTTGCCTGTTAGACTAAATTGTACTCATTTGAGTATGGAAGGAATGTCAAAAGGTAGTTGAGGTAATATATCAAAATGAGAAGTTTTTCCAGATGTTTTTCCGGAGTATTTTGGTCAGGTGTTTCATCTGGCCTGTTAGAATGTTTGAAATTCTTCTCAAACAAAATCATTTGGGTACGGAAGGAATGTCATTCCATCCGCAGGTACTCATTAGAACATAAAACGTTTGTATATTTACTTAATTTATTTATGAGTTTGAAAAATTTAATGTGGGTATTTAAAAATATGCTCCTAGGAATCATCTTTGACTTTTAGGTGCCAGTGATTTTCTCAATAAATTGCTTTGCCAATTTTTAGCCTAAGACTCATAATTAATAAAAATAAGAAGCTCAAAAAAAAAAACCGACAACTTACATTCTCCGGTACCTAGTGAAACCTGAAAACTTCCATTCCTCTCACTAAGTGTGATAATGACAACCTCAGCGGGGGTGGGGTCCGATGAAACTTGTATAGCAACACTGGGGCAAGATTCATCCATTGTCACTAAAACAAAGACAGCACTTATTTATAAGCATGGTCTAGGTACATCACCTTTAAGTTGCTAAGACGATGGGACAACCGGCAACAGGGGCAAACACAGAATAACAATTGGTAGCCATGCTTTGTTCTTCAGTCAGTTTTTTAACGAATAGTGGTCTGGATAAATGTACTGTCTGCGCACAGAAACCCCTACTCCCTCGTACCAATTTCAGCCTTGTATAATACATGTAATTAACAAAAATTATTATTGGATGAAGTTGAGCATGTTTGGCAATTTTCACTGTCAGGGGCAGGCAGGAAAAACAGAACTTTCTTTGGCTTAGTAAATACGTACATGTACATGTAGCTATGTCCAGACTATGAAAAGATTTTGAATAGTATTTGCATAGGTATTAAAAAGCTATGAACGTTTCAACATAGGTTTTTCATACTTTGGGCCACAAGTATGCTATATGATATGGTACATAGTTAATACAAAGGCAGCAGTGAACTGAAACGTAATCCAACATAATAAATAAAGAGCATGAGCACAGGTTTTGCATGTCTGGTTCAACAAGGGGTAACAGAAACTGAAACCTTAATAATTCTCAGTATCATGCAAAAACAAAATCTAATATACAGATTTAGCCAGGGCTAAAAGCGAAGCTCTCGATAATATTTATAGTTTGTTCAAACAAAATATAAAACCGGGTAATGCTACGCGGGGAAGGCATGCAACGCTGGAAAACCGGTGAAAAACAACAATAGGTCTAATAAGCAAAAACAACTTTGCATGTGCAGCACACTTTTTTGTACATTTCTTTGCCGTTGCTTTGCACAACTACAACGTGAAACTTCCAGAAACCTCTTAGTTACACGTTTTATCGAGGAAATGTTGTACATGTTCCTGTTCAGTTTTTTTCACTGCCGCTCATTTTCACCTTGATTACCAAATTTTCTCGGATGGGTAGATTACCTCATTTTCTTACCCATGGTGCTCCGCTGGCACGCTTCACGCGCGAGAGCTCCGCTAATAATTGTTTTATCGTGCACACACAAGTGCTTGGCATTAATATATTTATTTTTAAAGGAAAAGCACACAATTAACAAGAAACAAACACCAAACGGCATATCATTCAACTTTCACACAATGTTTAAAGTCTTCAACCTTAAGACAACTTTCTTGGATTGTACCCTTTGAGTGAAATCCATAATAACATTAATGCAATAACTATGTGCATAGAATTTGAATTAAAAAAAAGAAAGAAACAGAAAGAGAAAACAGTACCTCTTGACCTCAGAGAAGAATCTTTTGTTAAAATCTGCAGCAATTCCTTCATTTAAAATACAAAATAAAATTATACTTAAACATTGTTTAAAATACATGTGCATTACTCAGGAAAATTAAAATGTCAATTTTTTTCAATGGGTTTTAAATAGATAGAAATGAAGCTTCACAAACCTTGAGCTTGACATTAGATTGGGCTTTAATGGTGTGTGTTAGAAGTTTCTCAACATACAGGTCACCAGGCTGGGTAATGAAACAAAGGAAAAGAATTTAAAGGAACTGTGTCATGAAATTTATCAAAATTCAAAGCCCTGAGTAAGAACTGTCACCAAAAAAGGTGTAAATAACACAGCAAATACAAAAGAAAGCAAGGATGGACAAACTTGAAGAAGATTGAAACGTATTGAAATTGTCTTTTTTATAGCTTGTTAGGCTAACAGATTTTCAAAGTTCATTTTTGTTGTTTGTGATGTTTAATCAAATGCTCTGGAGACATATACATTTTCTATGTTCAAGATGAAGTTGTAATCGCGTCATATGCAAGTAATTTATTCACTGATGTTCAGTTCCACTGCGGATAAGGACGTGTAATTGCCAATATAAACAAAATGAACTAGACTGCCGTGACACATCCCCTTTAAAGGTAACAATGGAGGAGGTGTGTGGCCAAGCAGTTTACCATTACCTGAACATTTGTACTATTATTTGAACGAATGATATTTTCCAAAGATTTGATTGGTCACTACAGATACAATGTAACTGCCTACAGAAAATAGTCTGCTTATGCTCAATGGAGACGGAAAAACAAAAAGTAATTCTCCTTAAAGTGGCAAGGATTGGGACAGTTTGTTCCATGTGCAGCGTTTTTTGTGGAAGATCTCAAGTTCGATTCCCTGAGATGTGATCATAGGCGTACGGGAAATTTTTTGCCAGGGGGGGCGGTAAACCATTTGCCCAAAAAAATCTCCTAAGTTGCCCAAATTTTTACGAAAGAGTCGAAAAGAAATGAGGGCCATATTGCAACAACATAGGCCGTCCTGGCATATGAAGGTGGCTCGATACAGGTTTTCAGGATCAATACCAAGTCTGAGCATAAACTACGTCGCCATAAGCAAACATTTGGAAAAACTGCGACCACAGTGGTATTAAGATGAAAATTTGGCATTATCAGGGTTGCAGTGACATCGGAGTTGTCGTAGCAACGAAATGACTCCATTACCTATTTTTTCTCGGTACGGGAACCTTACAAAATCGTTCACAGGAGCTTTTTTCTCCAATACGGTCGCCTCGATGTTCGTGAAGTTTAAGCAAAACCTTAAGAGCGTTATCGAGATATTTTGCAATGATTTTTTATTATTAGAAATACGGTAAGGAAAAGAAAATCTTGATTTTTGGCCATTATCTGTAGAAAATGAAGTGCTTTTGTCCTGCAATTTCACCTCATAGTAGCTTTAATCGTTTTAAAAACTTGTGTGAAAGATCGTGGAGGTAGCTCTGCTTGATTGCTAGAATCGAAAGAAGGATTTGATTAGTATGTATCGAGACACTCTTGTTAGCGGTTTTGTAAACATTTCGGTCTACTTTAACAAATCAGCGGATAATTTTAAACCGCTCGATAGATTTTTTAAAAGAATTAAGATTCTTCTCGTAATTCAAACTGAGAATTAGTCAGCCACTTCTTCATGTTCATACAGTTTTCAGTCGAAATCGCGCGGAAACGCTTGCTATGCAGGCAAGGCAGGCAATACCCATTGCTAAATGCTATCTGCCATACACTGTTCTTCGAGTGGAGATGATTCTAGAAAGTTATGCGAAAGTTTATTTTAATCAATTCTCGACTGGAAATAGCCCATTCCAGCTAGTGCAGTGCAGTATAGTGCCCATAAAAAAAACTGCAAATGTGTAAATTACTCATCACATGCTAAGCAACCACTGTAATGTAACTGGATTATTACGCCTACTTCAGGTTAATATTCAGCTCTTTAAAATAACTAAATGAACATGGAGACTTCCTTTAAAAACTGGCTTTGCCCAAATTTCCTCTCGCTGCCCAAAAAATCTGAGTTGCCCAAACTTTGGGGGGGCTGCAGCCCCCCTCGCCCCCCCGGCCCGTACGCCTATGGGTGTGATCTCAAATCCTTGTTTTCCCTTCTTTCCTTTCTATGTAGCTTTAAATACCCATAAAACACAGCACTGATGGAGAGAGGGGGATAAAATGAGTGCACTTCAGCCTCAGATTTGTTAGTCAGATGATGACTATAGAGCTACCGATGTGAAATACTGTGAAGACTCTACCTTTCTTTTGTTTTCAACAAACATTGATTTAACAATAAAACAGTCAATGAACTCAGCTCATGATATTTTCCTCAATCTTGTCCATTGATTGTTTTACAGCTGTTTATCATTGTATTCCAAATGTTAATGCCAACACTTACAGATATTTTAGAGATGCAATCAGATGTACACTCAAAAGGCAGGGGTGGAGAGTGCTGCACACAAAGACAGGTTGGATTATCACTGTTGTCTCCACAAACTGTTACTTTGTGACCTAAAACAATCAGATAATAATTATCATCTGGTAAGTTTAATTTAGTCTTGAAACCCATTGGCACTTTGGGAACACAAAATGACCTTAGCAATGTTGACGATAACACAAGGAATTCTTATTAAAGTCAAGTGAGGTAAATGCAACTATGCAAACTGAACATTAGTTATTTGGTAGTGTAATTTCTTAAGCAGAAGAAAAGAGAGGCACAATGTGCCATTAAAGCAGACCATGGTGTGATCTACAAGTCAGTTTGGAGAGTCAAGACATTTTTTTCTGGCACAGCCTTATCACTCAGGAACATACAGTGTAACATCTCCCTCAACAACCCCACTTGTTGTCACTTTTTGTCTGTTCTAAATATTATTTACCTGGTTTTTGCCCTTGTTGAACAACCCCTCTTGTCCTGGAAAGAGAAGGAAATTACTGAAATTATCATCCAAAAGACAGGAAAGAAGGAAATGTAAAAAATATGAGTTGTCTTCCTGAAGTCCACCCAGGACTGATGGCCAATAATAGAGAGAACTTTATCTTAATAACAGTCCTTTTTAAAACTACTTATAAGTATGCAAGCTTTGAAGGAGAGGTATACATGTAATTGTTGCTTTGATCAGTTCACACAACTGAGGACTGGTCTTTACATGTACATGTAGCTGTGTAACATTATACACTTAATGTCAGATCCCGAGGGCGGACATTACGTAATGTCCGCAACAAAAATTCAGTGTCAATTTTCTTAGGAAAGTGCCAGTAGCTGGATAATAAACATATTGACAAGTGAATCCAACTTTAAAAATTAAAAATTATGAAAATAATGTAATTATTCCAAATGTTGCAGACTCCAACGTCACTAAAACCAAGGTGTCAATATTATTATAGTGCAGATTGACTGAATAAAATCATTGAAAAGTCAATACTTTGTTGTTTAGGACTTGCCCCAGTATGTGACAGTGCTCACGCATATCATGATCCTACAGTGTATAGTGTAGTTACAAGTATTGTTCTCACCTCCAGTAAGAGATAACAAGTTTTTTTCCAACTACAAACTCCTCAATTCTAACATTTTCTCCCCATCTCTCTGTTATCAACTGCTTGGCCTGAAATATTAATGTTTTCATCAACAGATTATCAGGCACTCTTAATTAATGCTTTGTGCATTGCAATTGGTATTTCAGTTGAAGGGTTCTTGGGTCAAAATATAATTATTATGAAGATATTGACTAAAATTTAGTTTATAATTTTCCACTTTAAAAACATAATGATGATGAAGATGTTTCAAACAAATTATAGCTCTTAGTCAGCATTTTGACTCTGATGAAGGGCTTGTGCTGAAAGGTCAGCATTTCAATCTTCCCAAGGTACGTGGCATTTTTATCAGCTTAAAAGGTCAAAAAAGAATGTTTGTTTAACTCAACTTCACTTACTCTTGATACAACATCACAGTTGTTGCAAGGTATAGTGCAATTTTCTCAGATTGGGACATTCTAAATATTAATATACATATAGAGCTGCATATAAAATAATTATTATAAGCAGAGGTCTGTTGATCAAGTGCTTTGATAAGCTAAGCAAGACAAACATACATGTAAATTCTAAACTAACCTGAAAATGAAGAACTTGCAATTGGAGAGAGAGGCAAAATGAGTCTGCGTAAGTGTTAAGAACCATACAATGTAATGTTAATACAAACAAAAAATTGTTTTTTTCTACAATGAGCACTGTAGTCAATGACAGAAAAAGCCAGGAAAGGCATCTGCGCTCACAGGCTAAGATCACTGTTCAGTGAATTGCATACGTCATGTTTTTTGCACCATGATCACTTTTGTTGAGTAAAGGATACGCAGACATTTATACAAATCCACCAAAGGATCCTCTTCGACAAACATACGTGACTGTACAAGCTGGTGAATATACTGTGACTGCAAAAAGAACAAAACTGCTAATAGAATAGACATGACTTTTATTTTTTTAATCTACATAGATATGTATTATCTTTTTAGGAGGTGCACACAATGTATTAATTTTTCATGGCTGTTGTCTACAAGCAGTGCTTGGTGGCCCTTGTTAGCATACTTATGCCTTTTAGTTTCAGTCATTGTAAGATCAGAGCTCTTAGGCTTCCTAGAGGTTTTCTCAGAGCAACACAGCCTTGCTAAATAAATTAACACTTCAAACAAAATTTTTGTTGTCTTACCTGAAGAGCATGCACAAGGGATTTTCCATCTGATTACAAAAGAACAACAAGTATTTCATTAGTTTTTGTTTTTGCTGATGTGAAGAAACTGTTTTAATTTGCTTCCTTTACGTAAATGATATCATGATAAAAGATGCATTTAGAGTAATTCTTGTCAGATGCATGTGAATGAGCTAACCTTGTAAATTATTAATATTTTACTTCCTTATAGAGCAGGGGTAACATTTAAGTTGGTTGCCCTTCAGGCAACAAAGCCTCACAATCTAGTTGCCTGAAGAAAAATATTACTTGCTCAAAACATTCAGTACAAACAAATTAAATAAAGCTATATCTGCAAAATGGTACCTTTATTAACTTTCCTTAATATTCAGGTTCAAATTTATAAGGGGATAAATGAGGATAATATTCTCAACAAAAATTTGTCCACACTTACATGCCAAATCGAAATAGGTTTGAGCTCCCAAGGCTGCTGCCTAATGGGTGCCTGGTTGCCAGAGGTGCCTATGTACGATTTACCCACAGGCAACCAACATTTCAAACAAGGACCCTGAGTGGATGACTAAAACTTATGATTCTCAGGCTAAGTGTGGGTGAACAAACAACAAAATTCCTTGCTCATTCTGTACTTTTGAAACGAAAACAGAAAACGTTTAGTCCTTGGCCAAAGGCAAAAATAATATTATTTCCGTCAACAAAAGGTAAACAAACAAGCACTTGTCTTGAAATTTGCTTCTGTGACTTCCGTTGCAGTGCAGTTGGAGTTTTCGTCTAAAAATGGCATTGAACGAATTTAATAGTCTTTGGTACAATCTTCGATATTAAAATCATAACTTTTTCCCCAGCGTTAGAAATGTTAGGTCGCTATTGCATAAAGTAAAAACTGCTAAAAAGTCATAATCCATGGAAAAGCAAGAGGTTTAATAGATAACTATGTTTCAGACACTGGTAGCATATCCACGAATATTATTATAATAATAAATAATAGGTACTCTCAGTCACATCATGCAACCTTAATGTTTGAGAACCTGCCGGAGGATTCGTGCAGTTCCTAATAGGGCAGTCCTTTGAATTTGAGCCACATTAAGATTCCCTCCTATGCTCTCAAGAAGGCCAACTAATCCTTTTGGGATTGTCCCAACTGCCCCGACTACAAATTAGGCACAACTGTTGTTTTGACCTTCCACAGTTTCCTCAATTCTTCTCCCAGGTCTTGATTTTCTCAATTTTCTCCTTCAGTTCCACCCCAGCATCCCCTGGTACATCAATGTCAATAATTATTTTGGCAAACTACTTGTTGTTTGTCTACTACAACAAGGTCAGCTCTATTGTGTTCGAGCTGATGATCAGTCTGTATGCTATTAAAAATCACAAAGGATTTGACTTTCTTGGACTCTTGAACTTTTCCAGGGACATATTATTATTGCTATCATTGTTAATATTATTATTATTATTATTGCCATTATTATCATTATTATCACTACAAAGTGCCTTTTTGTCTATAGTATTCTGAATCCAACTGGAATTTAGAAAAGCTGATTTTTGAGGAGAGGAGAAAACCAGGGCAACTGGAGTACCCAGAGAAAAACCTCTTGGAGAAAGGGAAAGAACCAGCAACAAACAAATTTACACATGTCTGTTAATAGATCACCTCCAGTTTCCTTGTCCTGAACCAAGAAGTCAATGGATAAAACTCTCCACGGAATTGTTGACTCATCTCCCATAAGAGTCAACATCACCTTGAACAGAAAAAAAAAATTAAAAAAATTAATATTAAAAAAGAGACCCCACAAAGGGAAAATAAATTAAAATAATGGAAAATAATATCAACAAATTTTCAGGAAAGAAACAAAAAGAATTGATTCTCGAGCATGTTTTTAGTGGTCATTAATTTTTTTTAAAGAGCAATTATATCACATTTTTACAAAAAATTCTTACATTTATTTTAACATTGATGAACATAATACTGTACATACATTTAGGTGGGGGCCAGAGCAAATTACATAATTTTTTTTATAGAGTACCTCAAACTCATGTTCCACCCTGAATTTGACTCTCCCATCAGCTGCAAGGGTAAAAAACAATAATTATTAGTTAATTTTAATTAGTAAGAAAATACATAGAAAATACGTAACAATAATAATTGTTAGATAATTATTACTGACAGTATTTTTCTTTTATTATTATTCAAGTCAGTGAATAGTGATTAATGATGATTTTCCATGTACCTTCTCAAAGACAATGGATGCCCCATTTGCAAAAAAAGGCAAACTCAGCATTGGAGAAGAGAGAAAGAGTACACATAAAGAAAAGATAAATAAATGAGAACATGTTGTGTGTTTAAAAATTTCTAACCAGTTTGAAAATTTTAAACCAGTTTGAAAAATTCAAACCAAAGATTAAATTTGACCCAAAACATAATTATCCATCTCCAAGTCAGCCAATCAGAGCGCGCAAATGCACTATGGCAGGCTTAGAGACAATTAATTTTAGAAATTCACAACCTAGAAGTAACAAAAGAAACAATGAAGACCACATGTATATCATTACATTACAAGGCACACTGTATGTAATTATTAATACCATTATTTTACAGCTTATTCAGGTTTAAAATATAATGAAGTACATGTTGACATATTCTTACCAATAACCAAGTTTGCCATCTCTGGTGGAAGTTTAGCAGTAACCAGTCGGTGCTGAACAACTTGATTAAGTCTCTGCAGAGTCTTTGCCTTTTCAACAGCTGTTATTGGGTCTGGAGGAACAATTTTGTCCTGCAAAATATACAGAAATAAGTACGGAAATTGAGCATTTTTCTTGAATTAAGTGAACACCCATGGGATGCTTGCTCTTTCACAACTGGCATCTTTCTGTCTCAAGACACAACTGATGGAGTCCTTATTAATGCTTTTAATTAGTACCTCATGATCAGTGTTAGTAACTTTGTTACCAGCTTTCTGCAGCCCCTTAGAAAAGAGTGCTGAGAACGTAGGTCTCAGTGTTCACTTAACACAAGTTTAATTTGTAGAAAATATGGGAAAAGATGTGTAGGAATTACTGTTGTTAGTGTCTCATTGTAAGGTGAGTTACACTAATAATCATAAAACTTAGCAAAATCACTGTGTCTATTACCCGGATGCATGTTGGAAGTCGTGGATATGTTCCACCCGTAAGAACATCCACTGCAGCCGGCAGACAGAAGGTTGGTAATCTTTAACAAAGATGACAAGAACAAGAAAGTATTAAATACCAAAGAACATTACATCCTCAGCATGGATGGGCCATATAATGCGGAGGTGGCCTACACTAAACCAAACCACAGAATAATAATATGTTATGTACAGTGTAGTCTTAGGAGTACAAATTTGTCTCTTTGTCTCTCTCTAACCTGCTCTCCTTCCCCAAAGGGCTAAAACTTTGCTAGTAATTCTACTTGCACTGTGCATTATAACTGCATTAATGTTGATGGAGAAAATCACACTCCTACAGAATGGGGTGAGATCGTTTTGCACAATCATCATTTACTGAAAAGATCTTGGAACACGTATTTGGCTCCCTATAGATTTTGCAGGGGTGAATGAAATCATCACTGAGTGAACATGTAACTTGCCAAAAGGAGAATAGCCAAGATTGAGATTGGTTTGACACACTACAATGATACAAGTGTATTCAACAACTGTTGCTTAGTGGAGATGTGTGCCTGGGATGTCCAGGGGCTTCACTTTAGCACAGCAAGCTCCCAAACCAACAGAACCAGGCACCCATTACACTGACTTATCAGGGTGGCTGTTACAAAATGAGCACATAGATCTGATTTGATGCATGCAAGGCTGTACCACCAAAATTAACCATTGACAGACAACACAAGATGGCATTTCATTACACATTATCAATGATGACATGAATTTTTAGCTGGAAGCAGATCTACCTCACCTTGCCTTTACAAGGGTTTCTCTGGACATTCTTGCCAACATATCCGCAGTATCTACAAACAGCATGGATTGCTTATCCAAGATTGTAGAGATGGCCTGAAAAGCACAAAACACTGACAATACTTCACATGTTGCAATATTTATCAGTATAATAATCCATTGTCACTTTTTGTCAGGGTGCAATGAAAAAGGTACATGCTGTAAGCTTGTACAATGAGCAAGAAAAAGGTAGTAGTATCGCCTTGTACAATGAGCAAAATGTTGCTTCAGTTTGCTAACTCAGATCCCTATTAAAAGTACAGGAAGATCCACCCAAAGTTTAATTGTTGTTACATCATTTTCCTTACAAAGGTTTGACAAACTATATTTTTATTTGCCCTTCAGGCATTTTAAGATGAAATAATAAATAATAATAAATTTATTACTTACAATATGGCGCAAATTACAGGTGCATAATGTTAAGATCAAATGTGCATAACATGAAAGGTACACACACACTGATTTAATAGAAAAGAAAAACTGTCAATGTCACAAAAAATCAAAAAGAAATTTGTGAAATTATGGGACTAATTGGAATATTCAGAAAGAGCAAATTAAAAAATTCCCACTTGCCAAAAATCAGCCTGTTATTACTTTGTTTTCAAATCTATTATGTTTACTTGAAACTGAATAATTAAGGAACACAGAAAAAAATTTTATTATACCTCTTCAACCACCATTAATAATTTTCTTTTATGAAACTAATAACATTATGATCAAGAGACTTTTTCCTCCTCAGCATAGTGAAACTTTGTTATTATTAGCCTGCTTGTGACACAGTTGAGTCGAGAATTGTCCCCCTGTCCATGAACAAAAAAAGACAAAAATGGCAGATAGCCATGGCCTTGCAAAAGTTGTTGTGTATCGTGTTTCCCCTTCTGAGGAGCTAATCATTTTACTTGTAAGTACGGAGGTGAGCAATCTGGTCAAAAGATTCACAAAAAACAAAATTCTTGCCTTGAGTTATTGGCCCAATGTTTAATGCAAAATATAAAAAAAATTTGGTCACTTCAGACAATTTTACCAACACCTCAACTTTCCTTAGTGATCATCAAACTTTCCAAAATTAATGTTAAACCTGCCTGCATCACAAAGCCCAATGTACGCCTTTTATAGGCATCTAGTTTTTTGTCACATCTCTTATCTGTTGAATCTGCACTATTTTATGATCCTAACCTGCACAAAAAATGCACTTACCTGACACTTGTCAACTCGCTCTGCACTGGCTGCCCATTTCACCAAAGCCAAGAGACGCACAAATTGTTGGCGAGTTCGGCTGGCAAACTGCACGATCTCAATTTTTCTAGAAATGTCATTTGCAAAGCAACAATGTTTAGCCACTAGTACAATGTAGTATCTCCAACAATCAGCTCTCTATTCACCCTCTGTCTTGCTGGTTAGCAGAATTGGGCTGTAATGTGCCTACAACCGTACAACTGTATGCGCTATTTCCTGCCCCTTGCTCTCTTAGATAAAAATACCAAATACCAACTCAAAAAGTTCTTTGAATGACTCTTCAGTGCTTCATTTTCTGTATGCAGAAAAAGGTTTTTCCCTTCTCAAGGATGTGCTTGAAGAAAAGCTCAACACATAAGCCTTGAACAAAAAGTCTACTGTTCCAGTGTACAAGATTTGGGCAAACAATTACAGCTGTAAATGTCATTAATTTTACTACTGTAAAAGGAGCTTTCTAGAAAGTACAGTCAAACAGAGGATGAATACTGTGAGTCCAACATTAATATTTGGAGGAGTTATCTTCTTAATTTTTTTCACAGAAGTGAGACTGGCAATATGAGATCCAAAAGCAGGGAAATAACTTCATTTCTGAGTCTTTCCTTTATAAAAGGCAAAATGCATATGTATAACCCAGGGGTTTCAATAAGTTTTTGCATAAGTGGGTACTTAAGAGTAACAGGCGGGTATATTTGCCGAAGGCCCCAAGGGCCTTCGACCCTAGGGGGGTCCGGGGGCATGCTCCCCCGGAAAATTTTGAAGTTCTAGACACTCGCACATGCATTTTCAGGTATTTTTTTGTTGCTTTGTTTTTACATTTTTTTGCTCCTAAGTCAACTAATTTAAACAAATTTGAAGAGAATTATGTTACAATGAAGTAGTCATAGTCAAAACCTATTTTGCCCAATTTTTGGGCAAGAATTCGAAGCTGAGATGAAATTATCTGGTCTTAGTTGACGTTCATGTGAAGGCTCCAAGCGGGTAATCAGCCCGTTGCAAGCGGGTAGATCTACCCGCTACCCGGCTACTATTGAAACCCCTGTATAACCTGCCATACATGTGAAAAGATAAACTACATGTACATAAATACATGTGTAGGCAATGATACTAAAGGGGATGAAGGGGTTGCAGAATATAATTTTTATTCATGCTTCTTAAGTTTTGAGTTAAAACTTTCAAATTGAACATCACTTTAGGAAATTTTCTGACTGCCGGACATTTATTTTTTTAAGACCCTTCCCAGCTACCAGGTATAATAGCCATCAGCCCATTTTTAGGGGGTCCAAAATCAAATATTCTAATCAAAATCTTAAGAATAAAAGTGTGGATCCTAGCTGCATGTAAACCATTATTTAAATTTTGTTTTGTTAACTGACAGAATTATCACATTATCTGTATAACTTTTGAAAACTTCAGTGTGCCTGTAAAATATTAGGACTTTCAAGAAAAAGACCCCAGCTTTGTTATAGCAGCAAATATGTGACAATGAGGGCCAAAGCTAACGTACATGTCATTCATCGTAACACAAGTGATACATGTCAAACAATAGGTGCTGTCAATAGAGCATTCTTGCTGGTTACATTATTTTTCCATTTCTTCAGTTACACTGTACTAATAAGATCTTGTTAACAACTTTTCTAAGCAGTTTCAAAAGTAAAAAAGAATTATTTACCTTTCAATATCAGACTTCCTTGGCAATCTGTGACAAAACAATACCAAGATCAATCATTTTCAATGCTAGGATGGCCTTTGGACTATGACTGACTTAAGGCCTTATCATATGACTCCGATCCAAAGGAACATGTAGAGGAACATCCTGGTTAGACTGGAGTCTTTATTTATATGCTTTTGTTAGTTTAGAATGTAATAATCTGCTGCAAATTTACTTGTGATTACACATGTAATCATCATCTCTATTTCACAGTGACAGAGTAAATTTGTAGCAAAACTATTACATTTCAAAACTAACAAAAGTGTTAAAGACTCCAGTCTACCAAAGATCTTCCTCTGTTACTACAGTACATAATGGACGTTATATTATCTCATTCTCAGAGTCACAACCTTAAACTTTCTTATAGGGAAATACATGCGACAACAATATAGAACCTCACTAAAAACAGGCAATGCATCCTAGCCGAACTTTCTTTGCAAAAATAGACCAATATTAAAAATTAGTATTATTTAATCACTACTGACAATAACTAAGAATTACTATTTTAGCCCACTGAAATCTGGATGTTATTTTAATTAACAATAATATTATTTTATTAATTTACAACCATGTAGAATACACTTTACAAAGCAACAAAAATAAATTGTTTCTGATTGGATAAGAGGAATGCATTAAAATTAATTTGTAAATCTGCCTTTGTTTTTTTCTTTTACCCTTTTTTCATAACACTTAAAGTAGTCAGTCCCTCTTCTGTTGTTAATTCTAATAAGTGCATTACTGTATGTGAAGAAAGAGGAGAAATAATTGATAGTGAATCGTTGCTGTCTAAAGGTATAAACAGGGCTTCTGATAGGTCGCGGAAAAAAAAAGTCAAATTTGGCGGGATTTTTAGGGACAAATTTGCGGAAAAATCGGCCGATTTCGTGGTAATTTCACGGGAGTTTATGGAGCAAACTTCATCAAAAAGCAATCGGTAAAAAACGTCCAATTTTGTGGTTATTTTCAAGGCAAATTTCGCTAGAAATCAATTGGTTTTGCGCTGTTCATTTTTAACGTTTTTCTAACTGAGGTCATCATTTGCTCTCTCAACAACAATACGCACTACAAATTAACCAATGGCATAACCTGAGATCAGGCCCAATTTTAGCGGTTGTCATACATTCACATAAAGGCACCGCTAAAATTGGTCTGTTTTCGTTTCGCCTTGCCCGCCGGAATGTAATTTTCAGAGCAAAACGAAAATAGAGCCTGATCTCAGGTTACCAATGGCAAAGCGTTTAACATCATGGCTAGAGCCCAGTTTTTTGCAACATAATCTACACCTGGTAGTTTCGGGATGTTGTTTGCATGTTTCAGTGACGAAGTTTTAAGATAAATTTGAAAGTTTATGGCAAGTAAATAGCCCCAATAGCTGAAATAAGTTTCAAATATGTTGTACAGACATGTATTTATTTTGATAAGATTTCTACTGAATTTCGCGGTATTTTTCGTGTTTTTGTGAATTTCGTGGGAATTTGCGGATTTACCTGAATTTCACGGCTCCGCGACCGCGCGAAATATCAGAAGCCCTGTATATCAAGGCATGCAAATGTCATTAATAGTCTACTGGGGGTGGTGTCTTTGTTGAATATCACATTTTCTACTACTTTCAAAGAGCAAAACAGTGTGGTAAATAAAGAGCACACATACACATGCACAGAGACAAGATTTTGTCATAATTCAAAAATTCCGGTTTTAACGCATTTTCTCCTGGTCCAAAAAGAGCAAAATTTACCATGTTCAAATTAAAAAAAATATATCTCAGCAGGTTTTACAGCAGCATGGAAAACTATACCATTTTTAAAGGAGGAAAATACTCTTTCCAGCAGAAAAAAATAATTATTTAAATTGACTGAACCCATAATGTTTCACAAAAAAACTAAACAGTGAGGTATTTAACAAAATTTTTGAGAATTTTTTTTTATTACTTTGATCTCTAAAGATGAATATTTATAGGGCCCAGGGGAAAGAGTTAATTATCACCCTTGCCCAACATGAGCCAGCAGAAAGTGTACAAGTCATTGTAAACATTGCCGTGGTTGATGATTTTGGAGAACAGGGTAACCAGAAGAAAAGGCCATGCAAAACTTGTAATGATCTTAGACGGAATCCATCAGGAAATTGAGTAATTTCAACTTTCAGTGGACAAAAACCTTGTACCAGAATAATTTGAACAATACTGCATTCTTTTTACATTTTTTAAGGGCTATAGATATAACTTATTATCTGTAATAACACCAAAGACTATTTCTCACGGGAGCCCGCGAAAATAAATGTCACATTTCACAAGAACTGTGAAAACACAGGAAAAATTCTGAAAATTTCACGTGTAAGATGTCATTTTGTGAAATTTGACATTCATTTTCTCAGGCTCCCAAAAGAAATATTCTTTGAATGGTGTTACCACAGATAACTAATTACATCTATAGCCCTTGAAAAATGTAAAAAAGAATGCAATAATTCTGGTACAAGGTTTTTGTCACCTGAAAATTAAATTACTAAATTTTTTTTTCCTGATGGATTCCGTCTTAAACTCATTCTTAAATTAAAAGGAAACATACTCTTTGCCTTGTCCCAAGTATTGGAGAATTTGCACGTATTGTGTGGTTCCAGAAAATATCCATACCCCCCCCACCCACGGAAGAGATAGGATTTTCAAGGGGGGGAGGGGGGTCAATTTGCCTAATTTTCCAGTGGGGAGGGGGGGCGGTCACCATAGGGAAATATTTCCAGAGGGTTCTCGTGACGCGTAAGAGAGTAACAAAGAAAAAACACAAAAAATTACCACGACAATTTATTTACGAAGATATAAAACACGACAAAAGTTAAAGAGCTACTAAAGCTATGGATTAATGGACATAGCGAGCATATTTTGTCAGTCCCTTGGCGTGACCTCTCACGCGTAAACGTTTCTTACAGTTAGCCGTTTCCAAACGTATTTGGTATTTGTTTGAACGGCTCAGGGTATACATTCAAAAAAAATTGCCATCTGTTCGAATGGCTTGGGCTATCTGTTTGAAAAAGATTGTCATCCGTTCGAACGGCTTGGGATATCCGTTTTTAAAAAATTGTTAACTGTTCGAACAGCTCAAGCTATCCGTTCAAAAAAGAATTTGTCGATCATTCGAGCGACTGAAGCTATCTGTTCAAAGATAAATTTTCGCCGTGTTTCCATCCCAAAACTATTTCATCGCTGGCCACTTGTGTTGAATGATCTGTTATTCTCCAGCTACGTCACGTACGTTACGAAGTTTGTTTACAAACGTATCATATACGAATCTCTGATCCATTGTAGCCATCTTCGCCTTCATATTATCAATCGATTATCGACAGTATCAACATACGTTTTATTCAACACTTAAGTTTTTTTTTTGCAACAAGTTTCCCAAAAATATTTAATTTTTATCTTTTATGCTTCTGCAGTTTATGAGCCAGCGGAACGAAACTTCATTTTCCTTGCATGTCGAGAACACAAAACACGAAAAATAGGTTTTTTTAATTGGTTGCATTTCTTCTTCTCTTGACTGTTTCTCTATCACAAAGAAGTTACACGAGTCTTTTCCAGCAAGTTAAACTTTGCGTGACAATTTTCTTGTCAATGAAATCGGCGATGTGCAATTTTACCGAAAACTCAAATATGCAAATTTGGTAGAAGGAAATAGACCTTTTTACTGATACGGCGGCCATATTGAATTAATTCGATTTAAGGAATATTATAGGATGCCCAGGGGGCATGAGCACACTTCGTTTGTATCTTTGAGCGCTTTTCGGGACATTTTTCTTAAAGTTTTCTTAGAATAAGATTGTAATGGGAAAAAAGATCATTGTGCTGTGTCTGTATGTAATAATGATCGCCTATTTCTAGTTTAACATTAGAAATATGGTCTTGCACTGTATATGTCTCGGGAAAAAGGAGATCATTATTACATCCAAACACGGCATAAGGATCTTTTTTCCCATTACAATCTTATTCTAAGAAAAGTTTAAGACAAAATGTCCTGAAAAGTGCTCGAAAATACAAACCAAATGTGCTCGTGTGCCCTGGGCATCCTGTAATACTCCCAAAATCGAATTACTTCAATTATTGATATGGCCGCCGTATCGGTAAAAAGGTCTATTCGATACTCACACACTGTCTGATCGTGCGACGAGGTCCTGATCTCTTTAATTATACTTCTTCAAGTGTTGCTTTCTTCTTGATGCAGTGTGAGAAAAGTACAGTTGTGTTTCCTATGCGACCTTGCATTTTATTTGCAGAATTGTAGAATTCAACAGAAACTACATGAAACGCACAAAATTTGTCTGTGACTTGAGCGCATAAGGAGTTCGCATTTAAAGAAATTTGATTATCTGTTATCAATGGCGCTTTCCTCTAATGACATCACAAATTTCTGGTCCCTGCTGTGACTCAGACATTAAACCTGACCAGTATAAGAGTTTAGTACGGGAAAGTCACGTTTGGCAACAAATTTTCATCGTATAAATGTATAATATCGTATAATTTTTGTGCATAGTGGTGCTTTCTGCCTAAGACACAGAGCTAGGGATCTAATTTCAGTAGCCTTCTTTGATCGAGTAGCTTTATTTTCTGATTTTGACCATTTATTTGAGTTACCGGACCAGGTTTTGCTCCCAATAGCAGTAGTACCTTTTATATATTGGAATTATGCTCAAAAAACATTTTAAAACGCTCACTGCAAATTTTATGAACAATTTTCATGTCGGAAACGTATGTTTCCCATACAAAGCCTTGCCGTAGAATACAAAGTTTGTCTGAGTCACGCGGGGGTCTAAGGTGACAAAACCTATTTTTAGTAATAGTAGAAAGCGCTATTCAACAGAAAATACATGAGACTCACAAAATTTGGCATCGTAGTGAAGAAAACTACTTCTTTGTTCACTTCAATAAATTAGAGATAGCAAAATTTCCAGGGGGTGTGCAAAAACTTTGAAAATTCCGGAGGGGAGGAGGGGGGGGTAAATTTGAGGGGCAATTTTGGAAAATCCAGAGGGAAGGGGGGTCATATGGCAAATCCCTTCCATGGGGGGTATGGATATTTTCTGGAACCACACATTTACAAAACCACATGGTAGGGTTCTGGAGTAAATCTCCTGGCCCAAATCTGAGGAATTTGGAGCTTTTGGCAAGAAAAAAGTGGCAAAAGCTCAGTAAAAGCCTTGCATGCTTGGAATTGGCTCAGCAATAAAAGGCTCCATGTTGTTCTCCCCTAAAGCTTCCTCGGTGAAAACTCTCAAAATATCACCAGTCTTGTACCCAATTTTTATTGGTAATAAAGTCTGTACTATTTATTATCAGATTCGTCTTGCTTCTTAGAGCAAATCTTGTAATTTTCACTGACTAAAATGCTTCAAAATGGGATTCTTATTAAAACGAAACTGATACAATCAATGTTAGTAAACAAATATTAAACAGTACAGAACTCTTTATTATCACATTCGTCTTGCTTCTTAGAGCAAATCTCGTAATTTTCACTGACTAAAATGCTTCAAAATGGGATTCTTATTAAAAGGAAACTGATACAATCAACGTTAGTAAACAAATATTAAACAGTACAGAAATATCATAATATTATTGAAAGCACGGTTTATAGCATTTATAATTACATATACGACGGATCTAACTCTATATCACATCCACGCAATATTACTTTACCAGGAATTTCCAAGGACAATCGCTGAATTCGAGTGTACAAGTGGTTAAACGTTAAGCGTAAAATGACGGTCGTCAACAGGGTGTAAAGAGCTCTACGGTACAGTCTGAGGTTATTTTCTCGTATGACCGCTGAATGTCAGTGTTTATTAGTGTTGAAATACCCAAACCTTATATATGATGACTGGATATAGACTAAGTATAGCTTTCAGCCATAAAACATTCGGTTGCCAGCAAACCCCAAAACCTGCGACATCCCGCTTCCGTTCAATTTTAACTTGATAAATCAAAATACTAAAAGTTAGGAGTTATGATAAGTAAAATACTCACAGTTCGGATAACACGGTTAACTCATGGTAAGTCTTTTGTAGAAGGAAATCTATGAGCATCGAAAGGTTGATTTTTGTACCTCCTGCATCAGGAGCTATTTCAGTGGGCGCCATGTTGCTTTCAACTTGATCGCTGGCTCGTTTGTTCCCAAACATGCGTAGTATGTAAATTTCCGGCTTCAAACATGGCGGTCTAGATTTCGAAAGACGTTCAAATGATCTTGTTTCAAGATGTAGTTCACGGAGCGTGTATACGCCTGAAATGGCCAGCAAAGAAAGTCTTGGACGAGTGCGACATTTTAACCTTATTTCACAACAGGTATATGTTAGTTTGTGGCTGTGTATCCAGTATGTTATTATTTTGCTCGTGTTATATCGATCTACGATCGAAGATTCAAGTTCGGGTTCTTAAGTTAATTTTTTATCTCATTACTATATCAGTGATTTAATTTGAAGCTGAACTTATAAAATAATTGTAACTAAACTATTTATTCTTCTCTCTAGTTTGTCACTTTTTCAATAAATTGTCGATTTTTTGTTGTCTCATGGGGAGAATCCTTGCTCCAACTCGAAAGCTACAATCATTAGGTTGTTAGAATGTTTTGGTTTTCATGATAAAATATCCTTTAACCTAACGCACTAGTCATTTGCAACCACGACGCCCAAGTCCTCAGGAAATAGTGGGGAAATTTACAAAAGTATCCTCGTAATTTAAAGGATTTACCCCAGGGCCTAGGCACAGATTTACATGGTAATTACCCCTCCCTAATAAGCTGTCTGTCAACTAACCGCTATTCAAGTTTAACAAATGACTCACTTTAACTGATCAAATATTTGAATTGAGTCATGCATCGTATCTCTCCTCCATACAAAAACCCAAAAAAAGCTATACATGACCTGACACAGTCATTTTGAAATCTTTCAGATAATGATAAAAATGAGTTCATCAGCGTATGACAAAGATTCACGCAATGGTCTATGAATTATAGGTTCAAAAAGTTAGTCTTATGCATTGTTTTTTAAATGTTTGAAAACAAATTTGTTAATTTTGTAAGCTTCATATGCCTTTTTGGACAAACTCACAACAAAGAAAGAGAAACATTGTGTTCATGGGTCTGTGAATTTGTATTTTTTTTAAATTAGTTGCCTCAGTTATTAATGCTTGGACCAACACAGCCATACGGCATAAAAAGCATAGCCAAGAGAGGGTTAGGTAGCATTCGGTAAAGGATCATTGGGCGAACTATTGAGGAGCTCAGTACGGGTCAGTTACAGCAGGATGGATTTCCGTGATCTACGTCTTTTTGCCAGTTTTAGCCATAATTGTGTTTAAATTCAGAATAGTTTCAAATAAAACAAATGATTATTTATGCTATCCAAATCGTTAATTTTTCACGAGGGAGTGGTTGAATTGCCTTTCAAACTCTGCTCTGTGTAGCTGTAAATTTTTGGTAATTTCCGAGGGGTTAGTGCAAGAAATGATTGTAAAATCAACCTTTTTGCCCTCCTACTGCTCCATAAAATCCCCACTATCCGTAGGGATTTGCGGGTCGGGGATACAATTGACTAGTGCATAGCATAGTCTTATCCATTGGTCGGGTCTTGGATGGGGTAGCCTTTGAATACAGCCTTTGCTCCTCACTCCCTGGTGCTTGGGACATTTTGCAGGAGAGATTTGGCCCCCAAAATTCCATATTGGATGTATAATCTGGTCCATGAGCACTGATTGGTCAGCATAGTAACTGTTATGTTATTCTTTTTAGCTGTTGTTTACGAATAACAGACAAAGGACAAAAGGTCACAATGATCAAATAAATATTATGTAAAAGCCATAAATCTATTAGAAACAGACATTATTCATGTAATTATACATCTACGTCATAAAATCACATTTTTTAAAATATACTTTTATATATCATTTTTTTGCAAAAAGCATTTGAGATTTCCGGCCCTCTTGCAGGGGAACTTAAAATTTTATGATAATAGACCAGGAGAAACAAACCCAAAAGTTAATTAAAAAATTAATTTGCATCCAGAATCCCATAACTACCAGATTACTTTTGTAATCATAGATTCATGTCGTCAGTATGGAATTTTGGGCCGGGCTAATTAGCATAATTTATATCTCTCCCGTGAAACATCTCTAGCGGCAGAGGATCGTGTAGAGATGGCTGTCATCACGGGCTATGCATATGCATAGGCCAATCTGACATCCACAGGGTAAAGGAAAATTATTTTTGAGACTGCACCTTCCTATTATCTTAGGTGTGTACCCCACTTACGTTAATTGAAGATCTGAATCTGACACTGCTCAAGGATTTGTTTTGTTTTGTGTTTGTTTTCTTTTTTTTCCCCAGACCATAATTATCTGTAAGCTTGTTTCGTAGCTCTAAAATTAAAGTGACTTTAAACTGTGTGAAAAGGTTTCAGTGAAAACAGCAATAGTAAGGTAATGGTCAATGATGTTATTATCAAGATGAGAATGACCATTAATGTCGTCCTTTTTTCCAGCACATTATTTCTTAAATGTTTTAGCCAACAGTGATCACTTTTCTTTTTCACTTCACTAATCCTACTGTACTATTTATACATTATTTTAATAGCTGCGCTTGCGACATCTGAGAAGTATCTCTGTAAGAAACGTTGTCCCCAAATTCACAATATCTGGAGATAGTCTGCTTGATCAGTTGATAGAGACCTTCTTCACTTTGCATGCTGATGAGGGAGATGAAACTGGTATGTGATCTAGAACTGCGATAGCATTGTGGAATGCAAAATTTGATTCATGTAGTTCTTTTAGCGAAACCAATGTGTGAACAGAAGCTAGTGATGAAATTAATAGTTTCATTTAATAACATATTGATTTATTGTAATATTTTATATTTCATTAATTTTTATTTAAGTAATAGATCTGAATTTATTTTTTGTTGTCATGAACATGCATGGTATACAGTGTATTTTCCACATAGTCATCATCATCATTATTATTACATACCATTAATTTTATTTTCTTTCTATGAAGAATTAAGCACCTTGGGTGCTGTAATTTTTGAAGTTTTTTGGGTAGTTTTCCATCCCAACACCCTAACCTGGAGAACAGGTGTTTTCTGTGAGAGGTTTCTCTGCTCTCTGACTCACAGGCTCTGATTATTCCTTGGTTCCTGACATAAACCTTTTGCCACATTATTACTAAAATAATATTATGCATTTCCAGGATCTATGACTCAATAATGTTATTCAAGTAGTTCACACCTTGAACTTTGTATCTGTAGGTGTATGTTCAAGCTGTGCCCACATGTTCAGTCCTCTGAGGTCAACTTTTTTTGCAACTTGCCTTTTGGCAACACAGAATTTTGTAGTAGCCAAACAAAAAGAGGGTTGCCAGTAAAAGGAATGCTTTGTGCAAAAATGTTTACCCAGCTATGGTTATTATGAAACATCTCAAGGCTTTATACATGTCGTGGTTCAATTTTTATCATTAATTTAAATTTAGTTTTATTTTGCTTTGTTTTGGGGTTTTGTTAATGTTAATGAGTTTGAAACAAAGAAAAATGAAATTTAGACCAAGCACAAAATTGAAACACAACATACATGAACATAATGCAGTGTTCAAGAGAAGCAAGGCATAGTATAAACAATATTACATGCAAACAAATTTAAGCTTAGGTTAATTTTAGAAGAGAGCATAAACACTAAGTAACAATAAGGAGTGTGGTATGGCTTGATACTTGACAGCCAAATGCTGGTGGCCAAATTGGAATCTTTTGCTGAAAGTAGTAATTAAAGGCTATTACAGGTATATTTCAATAAAAAATAAATAATATTTCTTTCCATATAATTTACTGGTTAATCAAACCTTAAGACACTTTGATCTCTAGCAATTAATTCTAAAAAATTATCGCAGAATGATTGGGATTTGGTTGTTTATTTTTTTGTAGCCATTTACACTAGTGAGAAAATAAAGTATTCCTTGGTGAGTATGGTCATATCATTTCTCTATAATAAGAGTACTTTTACGAAGCTTTACTGGCTACATGAAAGTAATATAATGTGTACATGTACAGTGTAATTCTCCTGAATTTTAGAGGCACTAGTTTCTTGTTTTTGAATTTATCTTTTGTTTTCTGAACTCTTTGGCATGGATTTTTTTTACTAGAATCCAACATGGGCAAGCTTTGATCCATCATCATGGTCACATTCTACAGCCATGACTAGTATCCTTTGAAACTGAAAAACAGTCACATAAGTCACATTTCAAAACTGAAATGCAGTCACACCAGTCTGGGGCTGTCATGTTACACCAATACAAGTAATGTATCAGTGGATTGTGATGTTTCTTACCAAGATATGAATATCAATATGTAGATGTTGTGATGCATGTTTTAAGATACCATGTGCTACATCATAAAGTGATATCACTGTCTTCAATATTCCTCACCCCTAAATTTCCACATTTTAGCCATTTTGTGCACAGCAAATTTTGATGGAAACAAAAATATTGAAAAAGCAAACTGTCCCTGCTTTACAGGCTTACCACCATCTGGTTAGCTCAGTTGGGAGAGCACTGGTCTGCTGAGTGGGAGGTCGCAGGTTCAAAGCTTGGCTGAGCCAACACTCAGGGTCTTTAAATAACTGAGAAGAAAGTGCTGTCTTTGAAATGACGTCTGCAAATGGTTAGACAAAAAACCTTAGGTCCTGTCTCACAGCACTTTCACCTGTCTGGTTCTTGTGGGACTTAAAAGGACCCATACCACTGTTTGAAAAGAGTCGGGGGTGTAGACTCTGGTGGTATGGCCAACCTTTCCTGGGCTAGGTGGGTTGTCTGCAAGGATACATCTTAATATAGGGATAACCTTATGATCCACGTTCAGGGGTTGTAATGGCTATTTGTAAACATTGTATGGACATGTATGCATGCTTCCTGTCATAATCAAGACATTGGACAAGATCAGGAAAGCAAATGCATGCTTTATATTTGTCACTTGCCATCTGTACACTCCTGTGTACCCACAAGCAATGAGAATTAGTGAAAACAGTAATGCATCATAATTATGACTTGAATCATTCTGTGGAAAAAATTAATGTATTATTGTAGTCCCGAGTCACATTCCAGTTTTAAAATACAGTCACACTAGTTACAGTGTAGTACGGCGGTAAATGCAGTCACTATAGTCATATATTCCAGGACTGAAATACAGTCGCATTACTCCCAATCTAGGACTGAAACTTAGTTGCATTAGTAATGTTTTAGAAAGCGGATACACTGACTCTAGTCACATTTACAGGAAAAAATAACAGATTCCCATTTTTGGATATTTTAGGGTATTTAAAGAATACCCACAAAAATCCCAAATTTGAAAGAGTGAGACGAGTCCCAACCAGGGAACTTGGTTGGGAATTTCCTGGTTGGGACTTGTCTCACTTTGTCAAATTTGGGATTTTTATCGGTATTCTTTAAATACCCTAAAATATCCAAAAATGGGAATCTGTTATTTTTCCCTGTGATTATTCTACAACTGAAGAAATGAAAATAATATAGTCACTTTAATTACAGTCCAAGACTGATGTAGTACATACAAGTATAGTCATACTAGACACATTCTAGGACCAAGTTACAGTTTGACTAGTTGCTTTCTACAGTTTAGTATTAAACATAGTCGTGCATGGCACATTCTAGGGCTGAAATACAGTCTCTACATTATTTTTGAAGAAGGTACTGGTACAGCTTATCAGTTGGGTGTCTTTGCGGTAAAAACATTTTTGTGAAACCTTTTCATAAATACAGTACAATGTAGCTTTTAGCACTTGTAGAACAATAATGTAAAGTACCAGGTGTAAAGAGGAAATGATAACAATAATAAATGACTTGAAAAGTTTTGGCTTGGCAAGAGAAAAAATTGTTATAGCTGTAGGAGTTATTTAGCGGTAGAAAATTAAGGAATTGGTTTTTATCCCACACATTGGACTCACAGACATCCTTGACTCCAGTGCCAGCTTTTACAGTTAAAGTCTGGGGTGGACAGAATGAGAAATTCCAGCTTATTATTGAATGGAAAGTTGACCTTCCATCTCTGCAGTACCTAGGAGATCAGGTTGGGTTTTTAAGTATACAATATAATTAAAAATGATAATATTGTAAGCAATTTACATGTAACATGGTCGAAGGTATTATGTCTTATAACAAGGACGCTCTTATAGTGGCGTCCAGTCTCGCTTGCTTGGAGATTAGATCAAGAAATGAGGAGGCGATTAATTCTACTTGAAACAGGATTTACTCTTTAAAGGTTTCAACTTATAACTGTATTGACGTCGAGTGTTTTTCAGGATACTTACTTTTTATTTGTTTCTGAATTGATTTAGTACATCTGTTAGTGACAACCGCAAATACGTGTGCGGTCGCATGCTATACGCCTGTATAAATCCATGAAAATTCAAGGGTCTCGATTCCAGAGAGTTTCTTCATCATTGCCAGAGATCAAAAAGTGATTATACATGGCACGTCATTTCAATCATCGCCAAAAATAACCCGCATGCTCATCACAAAACCCATTTGCATACAAAAAAAATTTACAACACCTGACCATTGCAGTTTTGCTAATTATGATTCTTTTTTTTTTCCGACCACTGAGTTGTGTTCACTTCTTTCAAGGTAATCAACTCTTTCAAGTGGTAGAATCTGTGGACCGACACATTCCGGAAAATCTCTAAATTTAATCTTTCTTAAGGTTTCTTTGCAAAACATGCGTTGCTTCGATCACGCAACGATTCTTGGTTCCAGTTTTCACGGTCTCTGCAAGGAATGCCATCTGCAATGACCCCCTTTTGTGTCCTAAATATGCAAGCGAGACTTGTATTATATTAATCTCACTCTAATTCAGCTTATTAGGAGAATGTCCTTTTAATTGTATGTCAAACATGGGTAGGTAGTACCCCGAATGAAGATTACAGTGAGATTACCATATATAATAAATTATTGTAAGACAACTGTGGTTGATTGATCAAACAGATCTTGGGTTATGTATCTGGCATCTAAAGAGATTTTTGCCGGGGCGAATTAATGATGTCATCACCAACTGGTCAAAGAAGAGAGACCTTGTTTTTGAGATTGGTCAAAATAATTAATGTGATCTTTACATTTTATAGTTTGTTTTGTTTTGTTTTCTAATTTTCTCCTCTGGATTGCCAAAAAATGGGTTTGTTAGCTTGATTAATTCATCAGTGAAATATCAAAAGGTTTAGAGGTCCATTGCAAAAAACACCTTCTGAAGCAGATCAAGCTATTTTCTGGTCACTACAGTTCTGTCTATAAAAAAGGACAAATAATCTGCCCAAAACACTGTTGATAAGTCTAACACTGCATTGCTCTCTGTTACTGGTACTAAATATCAGCTTGCAAAGTGGGAACATTTGTACAATGTGGAAGGCGAAATTGTGAAATTTTCTCTCACTTTCCTTTGTGGGCACTTAAGGGCTGAACATGGCAGAACGTTTGTACTTCTCCAGACATGGGCAAGATTGTGAACCCAAACCTTAACTACTTTTGATTAATTTTTTAGGTCAAGTATAGCAAATATGGCCACAACACTGCTATTTTTGGTCTAATTGATGGATATTATGGAGCTCCTTCTGGACAAAAATTATATGAGGTTAGGGCATGGTGTAAAAGGCAGTTAAAATAGTCTCAGATTTGAAATGACTGTAAGTTTTCAAGAGTGTAAGTCAAGTGACGATTATAAAAATGTTTTCATGGCTTGTTCGTATCATTTTTTCACCTGGCACAAGAAAATTCAGTGAAGATATGACACTGTGTTGTCTCATACATGTATTACTTCAAGTCTTTTTCAGACTAAATAGCATCTTCTTCAGCCATTAGTGTTATTTTGAGATTCAAAATTTCTTCTTTGATGGACTGCAAAATGTGATAGGAAAAATTAATACTAGTAGCTAAAGCTAAAATATTACTAGCAATTAAAGTTCATGAAAGTACGCATGCATGTAACATGTAAAATAGTTGTGGATGTAGGTAGTTAATGTTTCTCTTATTACATATTAGCCAGGCCTTCAAAGATTTGTGCTAATTCAGTATTATTAGTCTACCTTTTTTATAGTTATATGCTTGGCCATAATTATTTTCTACTTACATGTATAATTTTGTTTTCATTTGATGATTAAGGTTGGAAATAATAGTGAATCACTAGCTTCACAAAGGAAGAATGCGATTAGAGTTGATTTTGATCAGGTCAGAGAATTAATAACCAACCAGAAGGTGCTTCCTCATTAAAGGAAACAGTGTAGAATGTCATCTGGCATAGCAGCTAATAGCTCTGAATCCGCTAAGGTTTGAAATAGTGTTGACAGACTAAACGAGACTAATTGCTGTGTGAAATGTGACCTTAGAGTTAGCTTCTCTTCACAAAGTGAAGACTTATACCATAGTAGCAACTAATGAGGAACCTTTTAATTCCGAAACTGCAGTCTCGCTAAATAGGCACTTGTAACAAGAAATGCTAATAGTTCAGTCGCATAGACTATTAAGCTAAAACCAGAAAAAAAAATGGCCAACAGAGGAACTGTAGGGCATTCATGTGCTCCAGACCACTGGAAATAATTACTCAATATGCATGAAACAGTCCAGCTTTATGACCCCTAAATGTTAGACTCAGAGCAGCACCAGTAAGATTTGCTCAGTCACAGGTTAAAATACTCCGTGTACTGCATAACCAAGGTCACATTTCACACTATCACGAGCTTATAAGTCATGTTTAGCCTGTCAACATTTCATTTCAAACTTGAACGACCCCAAAAATTTATTCAGGAGGCTTTAGCGTCAAGCCTCATGGCACTCAAAACACAGAACACTTTATATAGACCATAGGATGCTGCTGTTCACAGTTCGGTGACTTATGGGTGCCAACTCGGTAAGAAATCAAAATTTGTGGGTATGTTGTAGGTAAAATTCATTCTCAGGATTAACCAGTATTCAACCTAAAGTAAGTTTGATTTAAAATTTCCTTTTTTCGTTTGCTTGCTGTAATCCTTTATAGGAGACAAACAAAATTTAGTTTAACCAGAAACTGATTTTACATACTTCACTACAACAGGTATACTACAGTATAATGCAGATGATAAGGGCTGTCCCAGTGTTGTCTTTCTTTCAGAGATTTTACTGTTTTATGATACATTGTATCTGCAGTAGCTTCTCTCAACTGACTGTTTTTCTCAGTGATTTATTTCATCTGTCACTGAATGACTGCTGTATGTAGCTTTTTTTCTTGATGAGCCCTGTATGTTTTGTTTCTCTAGGTTCTAACATCCTACAACACCTCATCTCTTCAAAGGTCAGAAAATTTAAATTTTTTATTAAGTTCAAATATCCAGTATGTTGAAAATGCACTTGGGTGGGCAATCTGGAAGAAACTAACATGTACATTAAAGTGTACAAGTGGGTGAATTATCTGTGGCAGCGAACTTTAGAACAATAGCTTATCATGATCAAAATTAAAAAAATTAAAATGCTGGAAAAAAATAAAAAGTTCTTTTAAATACTTTCATGGATCATACAGTCATTTAACACTTGGGTTAAGGTATGATGGATAAGTTACAGTGAGCATGAGCAGTGTGTTATAATGCTGTCCAGTTGCTGGTTTGGCTCAGTAGGCTGGCCTAGTGGGTGTGATTACATGGAAAATTTCAGGGCCCATTAGCCAGTGGAGATCCTGGCATTGTCCCAGCTAACCAGACTCGCTTGACTGCCATGTAATGTGACAAAGTTGTTTTTTTTGTCTGTGTTCAATTAACATGCTAAGATCTTGATAATCGAGTCAGCCCAGCAAACCAGACCAACCTGGCTCATGTATTTAGCCCCGTGGGTTATTAGTGAAAGTGTGATACACTAGTGCATAAGATTGACGCACTTATTTTTTAACAGAATACAGATGACTCAGAAATCCATTCAACAAACTCAGCTGTCAGTGAAAAATGTTTGTCAGTTGATCCAAAACAAAGTTGAATCTGACTTAAAGTACACATCACAAGTGAGTAGAACATGAATATTTACTGATTTAGAAAGCTCACTGAAAACAAGTGAGTGAACATTTTGATCAACCTTAGATGATTTTCATGTTATTTTTCTATTGAGGGATAATTTCTATAGAATGTTACTGTTGGGTTTTCTTTGTTTGGGTAAATCTTATGATATGAGATACCTGTGTGTAAATGAAACTGTCATGATAAAGAGTGCTAATAATCTACTTGAGAGGAATTTAGGGAGTTTTAAGCTATCCTTAGCTGTCTCCCTTGGCTTACCGTAAGCATCTGCTGTATTAAAGAGTGCATGACGTCAAGACATACATGCATATATTGTTTTTGTTTTTAACTTTAATGATGGAACTAATTGTTTCAAGTTACCTGTAGTTTTTGTTTCCCTTGTTTAATAAGTGATTATTCTCTTCTCAAAGCTTTCGGAAGAGGAGATGCTTACATTGAAGATCAAACTTTTAAGAGAAGAGTTACTGTCAAAGCATAAGCAATTGCTGAAAGGTATAACATAATAATTTATTCATAATCGAAGGAGATATTAGGGAGCTATCATATGTGAAAAAAGTCGCGTTATTAGTTGAGCTTCTTCTTTCTCCCACTCACCCTTCTTTTTCCTGTAATTGTATTACCGGTAATTTTTGGTTTTTGATCATCAGTACATCAGGGGCATAGCCAGCCCATAGACCTGTAGGCCCGGGCCTACAAATTTCTGGTTTGATCAATCCATCACTTGTAATAAATTATGCACTGCTGGAGTGAGCAAAAAAGCTTATTAAAGAGCTCAAAGTGTTGGTGAGGTCAGTGCGTACTAGTCGTGTGCCATTTTCAGGATATGTGGAAATTAAAGGCACCCAGGCCTACAGCTGGTTGAAAAGCTGGCTATGTCCCTTAGTGCCTATTCATGGTTCTTAGTGATGGGAATTTAGGGGCTTTAGCGGCAGCACAGTGATGACAGTTGTAAGCTACATGCATGGGTGGTTCCATATAATTTATTGGGTGAAGCTGTGTGGTTTTGCCAGTCTCCAAATACTGTAGGACACTCACTTGTGCAGACCAAGGAGATTAAGCAAAAAACGAAAAGCTTAGATATATTCCAATTAAGTATTAGATATTTAATTATACAGGGTGTATAGAGTCATTAATCAGACTGAAGGAATATGTTTGTAGGTGTAGATACAATCACATGTATTATTGTATGTAAGTAACGGTTAAATTCATGCAATGTTATTATTAGAGAGAGAAGAGGAAAAGCATTTCTTGGAGAAGCTCAGAGAGCATGGTAAGTGCATTTTAACATACAAAGATAAAATTTTGTGAAATTGGTCCTGAGTTTCTCAGGGATTTGTACTGTTTCAACTTTTAATTTATTCATGGGTTACTTTTGTCACTTTTCATCATCTTACAATATAATCCTGCGTGGAAACAAGAAGTAATTTGATCTTGGTAATTAAATCCCGGAGTTTATGTTCATCTACATGAAGCAGAAAAGGGAAATGAAAAAAGTTAAGATTTATGCAATTGTAAATAAAGGGAACACAAATCAAGCCTTCTTCTCTTGAAATTAATACTTAAAGATAAAAATAGCACAACACCTTAAGGTTTTATTTGAATTATGAGGATTATAATGTATCCACCAAATAATTCAGACGTTAGAAACACATTGTAAACGAGAGAGTACTACAGATACATGTAAGCTTTCATTTGGCACTTACGTCCAGGTTTGCACGCAGCTGCAAAAATTGCGATTTTTTTGTGTGTTTGCGAAAAATATCTGGGAAAGTATACATGTAGGTGTAGATGTACTAACCAGCAGCTTTCATTTGAATGGTCACATTTAGGAGTAATTTATTTTGTATGTAGTGAGAACCAACTTTTACAGCAAACAGTACCAAAGGAACGAATTGGTTATAATTTAGTTCATGCCACTACCTGTATGTTTATTTCACGGTGTATGGTTGTATTTTCTTAGAACTAAACCTTGAAAGGAACAAGGAGCAGTTGGAGTTATGGAAGTCTTCTCTAAGAGAACACAAACAAGCTCACATAGAAAAAAGGTGAGTTCTTTAGCTTAGAGGGCATTTTCAACATTTTGCTGTCATACTATACATTATAGCTTTTTCACATATAGTGCAGTAATATAATAGAGCGCGGAGACGAGCTTGCATTACAATGCTCAATGCAAGTTTGGTGTTCACGTGATCGTCCGTAGGTCCTCATCGACCCCTACTTCTAAGCTGGGGTGAAATTTCGCATTCAAATAACCGCGCGTTTGGGCGGTAAAATTGCTTGGCCACCTGGACTTTTAGATAGAAAAAACAAGAAAGTTGAGTAACGTGACGTACTAAAGGTGTGGTCCTGAGGATATCTGCCATAGTGAGATTTGACTGTGCAGCGCTGTGGACCAATTCACAGATGCAAGTTTTGTCATCTGTCGCATACTATTCACAAAGTTTGCTTTATTTTGAAGGGAATCACTGGTGAAGTTAATCGCTCAGCTTGGCATGAGGCGTCGGCAGCTTATCTCTGAACTAATGAGTATTTACCCAATTGTTGAGGTAAGATGTAATTACTAACAATGGGCATAAAGTGCAAGAATTAACGCACCGTCGTGTTTCTTTGTACCTGACTTATTATTTTCAGTATGTTTGAACATTTGTCACATGTCAATAAAGAGAGCTCTCTGCTACAATATCCCCTGCTGAACTTATCGATGTTTGTCAAATTACTTTCTTGATCAGTTAAAAGGTACCAAAGAAAAGCTTATTTGTGGAGTGCGGCTTCCCAACAGTGAGTCTGATGAATTTACAGGTAAGATGTTTTTATTAGGATTATGCCCATGTTTTACTGGAATTAACATGTTCGGATTTGCTGTTTAAAAGGCTAAAATGAAATTGAATTGAACTAAAACCGCGAATTTAAAAGGTTAAGTAGTATGTCTTAGTGAATAACTGGTTGGATGGAAGGAGGGAAGGAGGGGGGCTTCAACAAATTTAAGAAATGGTAAACGTGCAGCGTGCAACCATCGAGTTACGGATGCACGCGGGAGGTTGCTAAGCACGAAAGAAGCGTAAGGGATGCTAGAGGCGTACCCGAGAGCAACACTAGCTTCTTGAATGCTTTGCAAACCCCTCAAGTGTTGTCATAAATGCGTTATCTCCATCAGTGTTTTGACTAGCTAGAACCTTGTTTAAGAATGCATCTAGCCTTCATCTACCTATCCATCAGTCCACTTTAAAGTCATTTATCCCTCCGTTTTCAAATCTCCTAAGGAGGAAAACAGTACAGCCGTATCTAACAGATTTTTTAGTTCCCCCAAACAAAGTTTTGGGACCTCTGGTGTCTGTCCAGCGTTATTCCTCTTTTTCAAGGATTGGAAAGGGTTGCCAAGCGAAATCGTAAGCGCTAAGTCCGCTGATCGATTCGAAAAAGTCTTATTTGAGTATTTTAGTCCGTTACAGGACTTGTGTCTTTTGAATAAATGTTGAATCAGAATAGCAATAGCACGGGATAAAGCAGTTGTATAGCTTGACTGCATGCAATTTTACCCACCCTAGAAATAACAGGTACTAATTCTTAACAGAAACTGAACGTTTATCTTGTCAGTCGGGTGAAAACATCTTTCACATGGTTACTGGTTAACGGACAGTTCCCGTAGTGCAAAAATGTCTTTGTTTTTTAAACCAGTCCAACGCTCCAGGACAGACAGCTCTTTCCATTAGCTGCTAGGTCATACAAGTTGTATATATTTTTTTCTTTTCTAGCTATGGATGATGAAACTCTTGCAGTTGCTTTGGGTTACACGTGTCATGTGGTCAGCATGATTGCTAGATTCCTGCAACTGCCTCTGAGATATCCAGTGAACTCTCATGGCTCTAGGTCTACCATTGTAGATTTGACAAGTGAAAAGGTTCCAGAAAAGGACAGAAAGTAAGTACTGGCCATAACAAGAGTGGTTTTTTGACTAAAATTAATTCTTGGATCGAATTTGAGGAAATTGGCGTGAATTAGGCTATGTTTGCACCATACCGGAAAACATTTTTTGCCGACATGGAAAGCTGTTCTGTACAGTATGAACGGCAACAATCCTCAACTGGAGCAAGTCGTATACATTCCTCGAACATCGTGCCGCCGGAACGATTGGCCGAGACGTTCTGGTAAACTAAATCCTAATTCTCACATATCTGAATATTTTCTTCCATCTCTGTGGGTTCCAGTCGACACTCCTACTCATTTACTTCCGCTACGGTCCGAATACTTGTACACACTCCAACGAAGAGTGGCAGTAAGCCATCCGGTATGTGACGTTTCACTTTCGAGATCGCCACGGCGCAGCTTCGCTCCGTTACAAAAATCGCACCAAGATGTATGGTTTTCATGTCAGCACAAGAGCTGTAGTGTCAACATCGCTTAAATGGCGAGCTCTCTTTTAAATATGTCGCTGAGTTAATTTAGCGCATCTGAATACAATATGTTTCATACTGCTGTAACTCTAGGTTGCAAGCGAATTGTTGTTTTGTTATTAGTGCTGATGATAAATACATAAATCACGTCTTTTGTTATACCTTTTTCAGATTTCCATTACATAACAGAGGCAAAGAACTAGCCAAGTTTTTCTATGGAATATTTCTTTTGAACAAGAACATAGCTCAGGTAGAATCTCAGTTACCGTTAGGCAGGCGGGCATATGAGTAGCCTGCGTAGCAAGCGTTTCCGTTTGGTTTCGGAACAAAGAAATACCGAGGAAGGGGACTTTCGGTTTTGACCGCGCGAGAAATGAAACGAGAGCCACTTTTCTCGCGGTCTTTGAGTCTCGTTCCTCGTTCTTTTCTCCTAAACCGTACAGAAACGCTTGCTACGCAGGCTGGCATATGAGCGTTGTTTTCCCCTTTTTTCAGAGCTTAAACTTATTTGTGCTTTTTTTCGCCATAGCCTTAAAACGCTATTCATTGAGATGTGTAAATTTGTCAAACTCTCTAAAGTCGGTCACTTCCCTCCAATTCAGATCGTTATTGTCACATTGTTTAGTAGCGGAGCTTCCATGAAATTGAAATTCTGTCTAGTATTCGATTTTCACTAATTTTCTTTTAAAGCCTATTGATAGGTCATTTGTTTTCCTTATTCGTGTGGCGGTGACTGATTCCTGAAATGATCAACGCAGTTAGCGGTCAATTCTTCCCTTATTTTTCGGAATTTTGTTTGACAAACTTCATATCTCTTCAAGACTAAATAACTTAAACTTCCAACTTATTAGCACTGGTGCTTATGGCTTGTTTTCACTGTCACGCCGTCACAAATTAAAATCGAAACCATTCCATGGATAAAGTATTTTTAGAATCTGGGATATTAGAGGAAATAAGTGTGCAAACAGTTTCGCCAAGATTCTGCAGGTCTCTGCGAGTTTTTATGTGTCAAGTATTCGAGGAAATGTTTTACCCAAATCTGTAGAACGTTGTATGGAGACGCCATATTGGTGTCTTTTTGAGGGGCATGGGGGCGGCGCAAACTGGCCGAGAAATCTGTCAGGGTTTTGCCTAAACACTAAAAGAGTGCTTATTCAAAGACACGATCTGGGGCCCGTTTCTTGAAAGGCCCAATAACTTTTCGGGCCCGAAGGCAAATTTTAAAATCAAAACCTGTTGAATAAATGCACAGTCTCTACCTCACAAACCGGTCAATTTTGCTTTGTTAACTGATAGTTACATTGTATCATTTTCAAAATTATTGAAACTTTGGTCTTGAATGCAAACACTGCAAACAGCCAAAGCTCACTCTATCACAAAACGAAGAACGCTTTCGAACTGAAAATTTGTTAAAATATTAATGATTTGCTGCTCTAACACCTCGTAAAAGTAAAAACTCGGAAGAATTGATTATTCCTTGATTTGAATTTTGTTGACGTCACTTAAAACCAGCAACGTATTGTAAAAGGAAAAATGTGTTCTTGTGCTAACGAGCTGAGGTAAAAAGCAAGCTTAACGTCACGTAAATTCGCAATTTTTTCCCAATGGTTTAGCGTTTATTGTTACAAGTAAATGGTCAGTCTTACGTGGGAGTTCAGCTTTTAGGGTTTAATAGCTAAATTTATGTATTAAAATTGAAAGAATTATTTAGTGCCATTGTTCTAGAATATTGCTTCGCGGCGAAACATTTATTTTTTATATATATATCCGTTGCCAAGCTAATATTCTCGTGGTCGAACAGAGCAACGTATCGTCGAGCAGGAAGGTCTCTTTTTGATAGTGGTGAATTGAAACTGATAATTTCTTGGAACGAACATGAAATGATCTGTTTTCAGGCCAAGTAACCGTGAAGCCTCAAGATCTTTTGCTTGTACTGACCAGTGTCTCTGTAGAAACCCGCTGTCTTTTTTCGAATATTTACTACGGTCTGTATTTTGAAATTTAGATCCGTCAGGTTAACGGGCTTGGGACGCCGAACTTACGTAACACTCTGCCTAACCTAAAAGACTTGCTGGATACGAAATTTCGAACAAGGTATGTGTCAAGACTCGCCAAGACATTAAGTGTCCTGTCCAAGATTTTGTTTGGCAAGCCAGCTTAATGCTTAATTGTAAAAAACGTATAACAGCTACATGTATGATAGTTGTATTTCTTTGGTAACGTAAGCACTGTACTTTAAATGTTTATTTGAAACAGTTACGAAAGAAAAGAGTGGCATGTTTCGGAACTCTCGTAGATACCAACTAAAATAATAAAGAAACAGAAACAGTCTTTTTTTTGGTCCGTCTCAAGCCTAATGTTAATTACGGTTGAACTGTCGTTGAGTGTGGTCTGTGCTCAATAATTAGTTTCCTGTTCATGTATATTTTGCTTAGACATACTAAACCTGTTCCTGTACATTCAAAACCCGCTACTATTTGTAATTTCTTTCTCTCTCTTTTTTTAGTGATTTGGTTAAATCTGCTCCACTCACAATAATAAGAAAGTCTCCATTAAAACCCCACAAGAACCGATCGTCGACTTCAGAGGATTCCTCCCCTCGGTCAAGGCCTCCTTCGTTTGATAACGTCATGCTTCAGTCTATGGACGCTACTACATCTGAACCCAAACCTGGTTTACTGGATTTATCGGTAAATCCTGAACCAGCAGCAAATCCTGATACAACAGATGCACCAGTAAGATCTGCTGACCACGATATACCGACAAATCCTGCCTTACCGGATAAACCAGGAAAACCTGCTCTACCAGATAAACCAGCAAAACTTGTTTTACTTGATAGACCAGCAAAACCCCCTATACCGGAAAAACCGGCAAGACTATCTTCACATGACCAACTAGTGAAGCCTACTTTACCGTTAAAACCAGCAAAAACTGCTTTTCCTGTTCAACATGAAAAATGTGGTGTAGCGGTTCCTCTTAGTGCAGATCAAGTTCATCAAACGCAGACTGCAGATAAGTCTCCAATGGCAACAGAAAATTCTATTGCAATAGGCCAGAACAGGTCGAATGGTTTATTGGAGGGGAATGTGGCGGATGATAGGCAAGGAGCTGTTACTGAGGAGAGTGCCCTGTTCATACCCTCACAAGGAACAAGCAGATTTTTGGGTCAGCAGCGGATGAAAAGATCACTAAAGCATCAGAGAAATACAGTAACGACTGGTAAACCTTACAGGACGTTTTCACTTAAGGCGCGCAGAAGCAACACTCAGTCGCAGAAACAAAAGTTGGTTAGAACTGGAAGTGCTGATAGCACGAATAAGGGGAAAGAAGCTTCTACTAATTTTGCAGGAAATACAGTTAATAACTTTATACGGTTTGAAGGAAGACCATCCTATCCTAATCAGTCAGAAAGTGGTGACAATGGCAGTATGAGGCAAGGTTAGTTAGATATATAACTTTCGACTTAACACCTATTAAACACATAACTACTCTATCAGTGAGTTACAAAATAGAACCATTGTTAAACTGACCGCACAAGCAATGTGACCATGAGCTACTACAGCTTTATGCGGGAAGGGAAATTTTTCCTTTACATCTATAGTTAACTTCCTTTGATATAGTCAAAACTTCACTGTTAACTATTTTTGGAGACGCGTTTTGCACTTGTTTACAAAGGGTAGCGCGCCATGCGAAGGCAGCCGAGTTGGTGTCTCTTCATATAAACCTGAGCAAATAGTATGTCTGGTTCTGGTTGTTTGACCGAGATCTCTCCACAACGCTATTGCGTGCGTTGACTTCATATGCAGAGACATTAGGTCTGCCCTTTGAACTTGGATTGTTGTTTGTTTAACGAAGATTTCAGTCACACCACCTGGAAATTTTCCTTATGTACCCTTCAGTCCGAATACGAAAGCGACACGTTTCCAACTACAACCCCAACTACGCCTTCCACTCCGTTGAGAGAAAGCCAGTTCAGCGTCATTAGGGTCTGTTATAAGTTTAAGGAAAAAAAGACTTTTTGATAGAGAGTAAGAAACGTGAAATCGATGACAGCAGCGTTGAAAGCATTCTCTTCTAAGAATTTCATCCTGGTTACCCGGGATCATATCAATAGGTCCTTAGCTGATGATGTAACCTACCCTCATATCCCTAATTTTGAACCAGTCACTAGATCACTTTTATTCTAATTTCAGATGACACGTGTACCTCGAATGGTGACCAGCGTTTGGTAGATAAAGGGGGTAACAGAAATCCCGATCTTCCAACCCATTCTAATGTGTCAGACCTGAAACAGACTCGCAGTGACGGAATCCGTTCAAAAAGCCTCTTTGACGTGGAGGGTTCCATTAACTTTGATTTCTGTGAAAATGGTGAAATAGATTTAAGATAAAAGTACGCGTGAAGCTACTGAAAAATCAGCTGTTATTATTTTTTATTAGAAGTAGGCATTTGACGGTCTTTCCTCTGTTTTAGCTGATGAGGTGTTTCAGCTGATTCAAACCTCGACAGCTATGGTCAAAATCGAAAACATGTAACGAGGGGTACTTAAGAGTTACATGGAAAAACTGGAAATTCCGGATAGAAAATTAAATGGTACGCGTCATTCCGTTTGGGAAACCTCGGAATATATGGGCTGTGATTTAAGGCGACACAAATTGTCTACTCTTTTTGGCCTGTTCAGCAGATTGGGATATACTTGGCAGCAGGTTAGGCCCGAGTTGTTCAAAAGCTGGATAGCGCTATTCACCGGATAAATCACTTTCCAACGGATAAGTATTAGAGGAACCCCCTGCGCTATCCAGTGGATAGTGATTTATCCGGTGGATAGCGTTATCCACCTTTTGAACAACTGGGGACAGAGGTTACAGTGTTATTTTTATGCACAGGATTTCCACTCGGATGGTGTGTGTAAATGGGTGGCACCCAAGGTATGCGAAACTGATGGTCCCAGTAAGAAATAAGAACGCTGCCTAACGGTAAAATTAAACTCCTTTACAGCTATATATTTTTTCTCTTTCAACTATTGCTTGACACCTTTAATAATTGTCACGTGACTCGTGACTTTTTTATCTTGGTCCAAGTAGGGTAAGGACCCGTCCACACGTATCCGAATATTTTTGGAAACGTTTTAGCCTTCCGGTCACACGAAAACAGCGTTTTTGGGCACCAAAAACGCAGGTGTTTGGAAAACGTTTCTCTGTGTAGGATTTTTTGAAAACATTGGTTTATCGTTATTGTGTGGACGGACGAAAACAGGTTTTGAAGTTATCGCGTTTCTATTGTTTTAGCGTTACTTTTCGTTTGGACGGGCAAAAACGATTCCAGTGCAATACGTAGGATGCATATTTTTCGAGAAAAGAGTAAAACAAATCTCCGTTTTCAGATTTGCGGTTAAATGTGGAAGAGCCCCAAGAACGACTTACCCTGAGATAAGTACGCATGCTAAATTTTGAAATAAAGACGACAAGCCTTTACGTCACGTTGCCATGATAGCAAAATTTCTCGATCTCGACAAACCGTGGTCCCGCAAATATGGCCGGAAAAAAATAAAAAATCGACATGTATGACTTTCCTGTGCATGATTACACTCAAGAACACAAACGGTAGCCCATTTTTTCCTTCCATCGTTGGACAATGCAAATGGCCGTCTCTGTCAAGAAAGACTGTTGAGATCCAGACGTTTTGCTACCATAGTAACTTGACGTCATACTTCTCTTTATAACTCTGTTAGAATTCAAAATTTCTCACTGGTAATCCGTAGGAGCACACGCTCCCTCAGTCTCATAAGTATGGACTGCGCTGTTTTCTGATTACGACTCGATATCGTCGTTAGTGTAAACCAGCCCAATCGAATAGTCGGTGTATATAAGTGTACGGTACTCGTAAGGTAGTGGCAGGTCTGGTTTTCTCCAAGCGATTCGTTTTGTGGGATTTACATTCAATCGACAAAATTTGTTACGTGCAAATTGGCCTTTTCTTTATATATAAAAAGAATGTCTTAGAGGAGTATTAGTGAAATGAAACAATAACATAAATATCATGACCAATTCTCAACAAATAAACTGCGTAGCAGTCTACCCCTTGTATAGGGCATTTTGTTGCAAAGGCAGTTTAATTTTAAACATTTTATGCACAAGATAAATGCAATACATTTCGGTTAGACTTCAAAGCTATATACCAATTGAGTTTTTGAATTCTAAAAAAGGACGATTTTCTTATTGAGCATCGCAGCTTTGAAAGCCGGGAAATCAATTACATACATTGAATAAACGTTAACAATGAACGTTTGGTATTGTTTTTTGTCATGCACGCTTATATTATCCGAATGTGCAAAGTCCATAAAGTTATGGGTTTTTGCATCCAAATTCCATGAACGGTTCTCATTTATGGGAGGGACTTAAGTTGAATCCAGACGACAAAGGATGGGGCCTAGAATGATGCTAGCTGCTATATGTCACAGTGATGAAAGGCCAATCAACTACTTTTGAGTGGTGTTATCTTAATTCGTGTACATCTTTCTTACTTTCTATCTCATAGAACGCGAATTTCGATTATCTTAACTAAGATAAAAATCACTACACGAAAATCTGTTAAAAAAATACTGTCAATTCTTTTAATCCTGGCGTAGTGTTTTTACTGGCCATTTGGAATATCTAGTAGTAGTGCAAGCAACAACGCAGCGCGGGAGTGCCTACGATGAATGTCTGAAAATTCCTAACACCATGGGGCAAATAGCTAGTGATGGCCCATTTATTATAAAAAGAGAGATGTGAAGTTGCTTCAAAATTCCTCTATTTCTCAAATTCAGTACTAGGAAAGCGAGTGGAAATCCAGGAGTTCGCTTTTCTCTAAACTGTACGGGGCAGTAAGCGCATTTAGATTACAATTGCAACTGATTTTTGCTGTTGACATATGAAAACTAACCTCGTTCCCACACAGAACTTCGAGACGTTCTTCAAAATGTCCACTGCTTCATGTTGAGGCTTCGTTTAGGTGTCTGTTTTATGAAAAGTGATAACGATGCCTATCGACCCCACCTTTCCCCCCAAAAGTAGACAATGTAAGAACATTGGCTCACCTACAATCCTGGTCTAAACGTTTTTACAGACATGTGTATGATCTGTGTATTTTCTAATAATCCCCCTCCCCTTCGACAGTGTTGGGTCTTGCAGGTCAAAAAATGTTCAAAAGCATTCAAAGTGTATGGACTTTAATTTTGTTCAGGGAGGAGCGTATTTACAAGCAAAAAGCCGTATGTACAACCTTGAATTGTCGATCACTCGCAAATTCCCTACCAAAAAGAGGAGGTAAAAGGGAAGTGTCTCAAACCCTTTTGGTCAGGATACTAGTGCTCTTTAGCCTGCAAAGAAAGTAGTGTCCGATAGCCCTGGGCTATCGGGCTTTAGTAAAATCCAACTAGTGGTCTATTATCAATGCTGCGTTCTGATTGGTTGAGCTACTACTAGGCTATATGTTATAGCCCACTAGTAGCGAAAAGCGCCGGATTTTTGGCGGTCAAAAAGGATTAAAGTCTTACTTTAACTAGCTAAAGTTGTTTTGTCTCGATATTTTTGACCAACTAGTTGGATTTTACTAAAACAATTATTCCTCTCGCCCTCATGGCCTCTCAGTCAATAGCCCAATCGGGCTCGAGGAATAACTGTTATGCGAAATCTGTTCTTAACTTGCCCGATGGGTGACTTTTTTGGGGAAGGAATTCAAATTACAGAAGAATGACAGCCTATAACACCTCAGCTTACAGATGACCAATGACATCGTGACTTAATTGACCAATCAGATCAATAACCAGAGTTTAATACTGTCAACTGACGTGATACAACTCAATTTGACTCTGAAGATGACTACCGCACAGGTTTTCGAAACGTTATTCAATGTGAACAACAATCCTGGTCAGGACTACGTTCACCCAGACGATCATACTTAACCAACATATGAAATGACTCCTGGGTTCAAACCTTTCACAAAAGAACTGTAATTAATTCTATTCATCAAAACTTTTTCGGGCTAGTTGAAATGGCTTCCGGGCTAGTACATGGTAACTACAAGGTTGCCGAATGGGAATTAATCACTGTTGGAAATATCATGGCCGTAGGAAACATAAGTGGGTTAAATGCTGGTGTAATGTAGTTAAATTACTCAATTTCAAGTAGTTTTTTTCTGTCATGTCTGGTCGTTTCTCTCCGAAACGACTAAAAGTACGCTTTCGGATCCTGAGGAGTGGGCGCTGATCGCATAGTTTAGGAGAAAAGAATTGACGAGAATATTTAAAGTCTCAATCTTTCTGATATTGGACAGTCGAAACCCGAAAGCGACCACCCAAAATGCGGTCGCTAGCGGGAGGTGGTCGCTCAAGAGAATCGAGCCACAGGGGGAAAAAGGTAGAGTACACTCGACAAACGTAGAGCTCAAACTACGCCTCAACTGGCCCTAGTTGTTCAAAGGGTGGATAACGCTATCCACCAGATAAATCACTATGCACTGGATAGCACAATTGGTTTCCCTAGCACTTATCCGTTGGATAGTGATTTATCCGGTGAATAGCGCTATCCAACTTTTGAACAACTGGGGCTTGGTCGCTAACAAGAGAATTATTGAAACAATGGAAAATTCCAAAGCCTTCATCCAAATAAGTGGTCGCTGTCACCACTAATATGCATCACTATAGGGAAACCATATATGGTCATGATGACAGGTCAACGAAAATCTGATTGGCTAAGTGAGTACCACGTGCCCAATGACGTAAGAAAGGTCACAAAATGGAAAGGTGACACCGGGGATGTGTCACGGAACACGTTTTTATTGATCGGTTGCAAGGTTACATGAGGAAACGTCAGACCCTCAAGTTTGCGAATCGCTGAATATCAAACGACAATCCTGCTAAAATTTCTCTTAATTATACATAATTATGCGAATGTTTGGATAATCAACCAATCACTACCCGGTTTTAGGGTAGTGACGTCATTGGATAGCATTAACGGTTCATAGATTCAGACATCACTGAGGGAATAAGCGACTCGAAGTGATGTCGGAAATTCAGGCTGTTCTCCTTGGTGGACAGTCGTCTCTTGATTTATAAGCTAGTTAAGAGATCCACCATGTTCTCGTCGCAAGGGGTCCAGGCAACGGGTATGCCGTAGACATAGGGCTAACTATAGCCATTATTACGATATATCGATAACGCGTTTTTTCGGGCACCTTTTTCAGTCATTTGGTCTGGAGAATGGAGTAGAGAGTTGGAGGTGACGTTTCCGGTGATTTTGTGTGGAATGTGCACTTTGAGTGTCCTGGCCACAGGGGTGGGGTCCTTCAGCTCTTTGTGCAGCTAGGACTTTTTGGTGACGAAGTTAATGTCGTCGTTGTTGCGACTGCTTTGATGTAACACTGTTTGCTGATGTGGGTGACTTAACAGGCCAAGGTAATCGACAATGAATTGACCCACGCGGTAAGGGGGACTGACCCGTGCCATCGATGTAGATGACGGAACCTGTGTCCATGTCAAGATCATGGTCTGGTAACGGCAACAATTACTGTGTTTAGAGTTGGATGCGAGCCTCGGCCGAGGTGGAAATGACCACGAGGATGATGGTTCGGCTGGACAGCTCGCTCACGTCGTCGGCGTATCAGTGGTACACGTCGAGCATTTCGTCGCCAGGCGGGAGTTGCGGTGTATGATCTGTGTGTCGTCTTCGTAGACTTCGAAAAACTGCTCTACCTCTTTACAGGTGGTGACCTGCTTCTTGTTGGCCTTTTTTTACCGAACTTGCCCTAGAACCTATTGGCCATGAGCTTGCACAAGGTCTGCCGACCAGGCTTTTCTAAACACGGGCGGGGTCGAGGACCAGCCCCTCAGGGTGGAGGTACTCGCGGAGGTGGGTGGCTCGGGATTCTCTGCTACTTCGGTGGAGACCAACCGTCCGATTCTATTTTGCCTTCGTTGGCCTTGTTGATGTATCCCTGGAGAAGCCCATGGGTAAGCTCAAAGTCCCAGGTCTCGAAGGTGTACAGCACCCACTAACCTTGTTCCAACGACACCTTGAGCTCCTCGCTCCACCACGTGCCATCAAAAGCGCGTGCTTCATCGGAATAGGGACGCTTGCAGCTGCGCTCCTACCCCGAGCCTGTTGTTTCTCTGCACACCGGGGGCAGAGGATGAACAGCAGTTTTTGGGCTTTGCACATCGGTAACACCGGGATGTTAGAGAACTTGATCGAAGGGCTAACACGAGGCGCTGGATCAGACCGCACGTCATGAGGACGACTTGGGCCTCTCCGGGGTGGAGGCCTCGTACTCGGTCTCGATGTGCGGGTGACTGATGGGGTACGGTCTGGTTTGGTTGGTGAGGGGATAGAGAGAAATAAAATCATCTTAGTGAATCCCTTCCCCCTTGTGATTGGGTGCGTATGGACTCTGTTCGACCACCGAAAAAGTTTTCCCTGGCATTGAGGCGGGTGAGGACTTTCAGGGAGTCGGAAACACTTGTGAAGACAAAACCACAACGACAAACCAGTGGGGGTCAGCCGTATCTTTAATAGTTCTGGACCGGTACTATCTTCAATACAAAAAAATAAATACAGATGCAAGATGAACGTTACATTTGCGAGATTTGAATATATAGCAAACAGAAAATAACAGGCTACTAAAAAGATAAATATCACCAGAGAGTTCATCAGTTCTAATTATACAACGGGGTTCTAATGTCATTGCTTTGTGGAGGAGGTGAGCCTCTAAAAGGGTCACGGTGGCTACGGATTGGTTCTAAGGAAGCAAGAAGGACGTCGTTGATAGAGTGATCGGCGTGATTAAAATGTTCAGAGACAGGAGTAGAAATACTAAGATGACCATAGTTAAAGACCACAAAGCGTTTACAGTTTAAGAAATCATGTATATGTTGTTTTTCTTTGGTGTAGGTGAAGATGTAATTGTTTTTGGCATTGCGGTAAAAACTGACATGTAAGGCGGCGCAGATGTTTGCATTTTGAAATGCCGGGAGATGGTTGATATAAATCTTAAAATGCGTTTATTCAAAAGCTCTAGTATATCACGATTTCTTGCGCCACAGAAGTGCCATATAAGCGAACAATAATGAAAGTGCGGTAGCATAAACGCCTTGTATAAACGCAACATAACGTTTTCAGGTGATAATCAATGAATGCAGAAATACATTTAGTGGGGGAACCATTGTTAAAGATGATTAGGCGACCAGGGTTTCCTTGTTTGTGAATTTTTGGGAGGATACAGAGAAGGCCAGCTCGAGGATTTGGGTTGAGTCGGCCCTTGTTTTAAGGACTTGTGCCGCCGCCAATGACATTCCCATTGGATGACGAGTTGGTAGTCGGTCTTTCAAAGCTGTCTTCACCTCGCCTGGGTTTGGACCCAAAGATCATGGAGTGTGCCAGGTTGAGTTTGCCGATGGGTTTTAAGGCGTCGCGGATAACATGTGGGGCACCAGGGCAAGAGACAACCGTAAAATTCTCAGACGGTGTGGGTTGAGGCGTCGTAGCCGCTAACGTGAATGGTCTGGGCTGGACCGTGCTGTAGGGGCACTTCACCGTGTCTGTTGCGACCGTGGCGTAATCGAGGCTGCCCGTCGGCGGTGGTGCTTAGCTGATGCCTTGTGTAAAGAGCCATTCTATGGCCACACGCTTTTTGGTTAATGTAGAGGGCCCAACCGTGCAGAGGAATTCGAGGGCGATGGTGTTTAGTGTCAGAAACAGGCGAAAGAGGAGGAGGAGGAGGTGATGGTGATGTGTTTTCGAAGGTGTCGAACCCGTACTCCGTTCGGAAATCGTCCTCGAATTTCTGACAGGCCTGCTTGAGGATATGGAACAAAAACAGCAAGGCTGATTTTACAGTTGGGAATATATATTTCTTTTAACAATATTACGGAAGGTACGGTCTTACTTTTTCAGGATCTTACATAAGACCCTGAAGACGGAAGGCAGTGCCTTCCGAAATATTGGTAAATGAAATATATATTCCCGATTGTAAAATCAGCCTTGCGTTTTTGTTCCATTTTTTCCAAATATAGCTGATTACATCCTTTATGAGGATCTGGTCCTTCTTTTTTGTAAGTTTGTCCTTGCTCGCAAAATTGAATCTTCTTGCGGATGCAGGATGCTTGAGGGTGATAACTGTCATACCAACGGCTAAAAGCGTCGCGACGATTTTGGCTCCTGCCGTCTGGGTCGTAATAATGCTTGTTGGGCAAAGGCCTCACATACGTTTGGTGTTCGGGTCTGTCGAGAAAGTGGGGAAGAAACCTTTTGCCTCCTTCTGCAAACAAAAGGCTTTGAGGAAGTCTGCCTAAGGCATGGGAAAAGGTTCAAGCTGTCGTTGAACTTGATTTTGAGCTGGGTCAATTCCAAACACAGGAGTTTTCATGGCCCTATTGACGATCTGTTGAGGGCTCATGTCTTTGCACTACAACTGGTTGAGGACGAAGTAGCCGTTGAAGCCCTGAAAATTGTACACGAGGAGGATCAATCTTGGTTTCCCTTCCGGTTCGGCGTTGTGCAGACATCATCCATTCCAGGAATGCCTGGACAGTGACGACCTGGAAGCGACCATCGTTCTGATTGGTTTCCACGCAAATTAACTAAAGACGACCAATGGCTGAACAGTATGTGGGTTTAGACTCCTCCATCATGAAAAAGAGGACGTCTCTTTGTGTGTTCCATTTGCTTTCCTTCTGTTCACCATGATAAGAGTGCCCAGTAGATTGCCTTCGCTTCCTCTCGAGCTTCCCAAAGCAGACATTCCCGTCGAGCCCATGCAAGTGCACATGTTGTCTCATCTCACCCTAATCGCGGGCAAACCCCCCAGCGCGGACGCCGAGGCAGGAGAGCTCACTCAACGATATGGCAAATCATGGAAGTGGATGTGGTCATTTCTCCGGGACATCCTCGCGAGCCACGATGACGCCCTCGACCCAAGAAAAACTCGAGTTCGCCTTCCCCGAAATGCTTAAGGCTTTGACACGTCTCGGCAAGAGTCTACAAAATCCCAAGGTCAGAACGTACATTCATCGCAACCATCGCACGAGCCATATTCGCCTTCGGCTTTTTCCTTCCAGTTCACAAGTACATGGAGGATGGGACGGGCTGGACCACTTGTTGTGTTTTCACGAGGGATGTACCCATGGGGGGTATGGGGTAACAGTTCATGTCACAGAGCCGAATTGTTGTTGCTTCCAAGACCAGCATGCCTACAGAGAGGATAATGAATGCAGAATCATGTATTCCCTCTAGGTTGGCTGTTTTCTCCCGCCCTGCAGCGCAGTCTGCAATCGTCATCTCCAAATATTGATTGGTGTACATTACATGCAGCTAATTGTGTGCACAGCAGTTGTTTTGTCTTGTTTCTTTGTTTATCTGTTTGTGTATTTGTTTATTTATTACAGCTTATATATTTCTTCTTTGTGTGTCTTTGTGTGCATTTGTTTATTTATAACAACTTTGATATCTTAAGCTACTTTTCCGCATGGCCCAGCCACGCAGTGAGATTAGCTCTTCCTATTTCTGAGTGGCTGTGCTCGCTTTCTTTTCACAATAATTTCCTTCTTATGTCTTAACACGTTTTGTATCAAGAGCACAATAAAGATTGTTGTTGTTGTTGTCGACATTTGTCACATGGTCATCAAGCTGCTACACGCCCACCCATGGGCTGTCATGACCGAACTCGATGAACGCCTCTACTGTCCTATTGCCGAGTGGACACGTCCCAACCACCCTCCACTGCAGCGGTCTCCAACACGGGATCACCATGGACGACACTAACACGCAAGTGCTTTTACAACGCGTTGTTGAGCAACGCAACGCCTTAGACACCGGGGAATGAAGGTCCAACGTCCCCGCTTGTACCCAGGGCAACCGATGTTGGGTGACACATTTCCGGTTTGACCGTTTTCTGTTGTGTGACTTGGCTTATATTACGTCATTGGACACTTGGTACTCGCTTAGCCAATCATATTTTTAGATGACCTCTCTCATCATGACCATATATGGTGATCTGGTTGTTTACGACAGGTGCAAATTGTAGTGATTTGCCTAGGGAAATTTTGAATTTTTGGATAGGTGATCGCTTATGGGAGGTTGTCGCTTAAGATGACGTGGTCGCTGCACATGGAGTTTCGACTGTATCAGAACACAACAGAGCTTGTCTTCGCATTGTAGTCACCCATCTGTAGGTTAGAACGAGAGGTTGTGGGGCAATGATAAAGCGTCCAAGACACTGACACTGACACAACACTGACTTGTTGACGGGTGCCGACAAAGAAAGACAATCAAGATCATTTTTTGCATTGTTCATAAGAAACTTGTCTTGAGACATCCACATGTTTTGCCTTATGTCTTGAGTGACTAAGCTAGATGCACTTATTGCCGATACATACATTTCGTTTCGTTTAGTTGTTGGTCAGTTTATGGATTAATAACAATTTTCCCACTTAACGCTTTGGTAACGTGGCAACGTGGTCTAGGTGCCAACCTTCCTAGCAGATGGTTCAGGTTCGACTCTCTGCTAAGCTGTTTTCTTCTTTGTTGTATAAATTTGCTTCGTTTCGTTTCGTTTTGTTTCGTTTTGTTTTTAATCATACTGTATTTTCCTCAGGGCTGGTTTCTCTTTATTAGCTTCGCGACATTTTTGCGATAAACGCGTATTTCTAGTAATGTTTATATAATATTGGCTCATTCTTACACTGTGCATGCATTGCCTATTGAGATATGAAGCAAATGGACTGTTCAGAGAAGCTCAGAGAGCACCCAAATAAAGTTGAAAAACAATCGCCCATCTCCTGAAATTCCACACGATAGCCGAACAAATTCGTGGGGTTCCCCTCGCGAGATTGGGACGTTGAGGGTGGCGCAGTTTGAACTAAAAATAGCACATTTGGCTATTTCGATGGGACCGCGTAGACCCCGAGCTTGCGGTCTCCTACCCCGTTTCTGGCTCCTGTTAAAACCTTGTCAGAACGTTTGGGTTCGGGGACGGGAAAATGGGATATATTTCCTCACACTAAGTTTGCGGGAAATATCCTGATGGATCAGAAAGACTTGAGTGAACAACATAAGAGCGTATTTTATGTAGGACAAGTAAAATGTTTAATTATCATTATCATTATTATTATTATTTTACTAATCACAGTAATAAGAGTGAAAAAACCACTGTCCTATTGTAGATAAAGTTTTAAACCAATCTAACACTACAAACTGACAGCCCAAGATAAAAACATAAAAGGAGCATCACATGAAACTCAATCAATCAGTGTGGTAATTTGACGTTTAGAGACTAAATACGGATTGAATACGGGAATATCACCACTCAGTTTTTATACATTGCCAATAACGGTATCCTCATTCGTTTCTATAAATGTCCAGACACCAAAACCCAAACAGTAACAGTTTGCGTGGGTAACCATTGTAAGGGTGGATTTCCAGTGTCGCTTAAGCTTTATATGCGTACGCAAGTAACGTTTACGCGGATAAATAAAATGGAAATGTATGAAGTGTCGTAAACGTGAAAGTTGAGGGAGTTTCAACTTTAACGTTTACGCGCGACCTTCAATACATTTTGTCGCTATTTCATTTACCCAGGTAAGAAATGTGCGACAGTGGAAATCCATCCTCAGTAATTCAGATGAAGAAAATCGCAACAAGATACTATGAACTACCCACATTGGAAATTAACTTCCTGAACTAAACAACAACCAAACTACGGCTTTCTGAATAGTATATAAACCGAGTCCTTCGGATCTTCCACAAATCAGGCCACGTTTTGGTTAACGACGTCCCGGTAGCCTGCAGTGGCGTCTTAATCTGCAAATTATAGAAATGCATCTAGATGTTAGCCGACGTAGCAAGCGTTTCCGCTCGAGCTGATGGGAGGAAGCTAGAACGAAATTGTACACACGGAAATGTTACACGCGTAAATAAAATAGAGGCAATGTATGAAGTGTTGCGCGTAAAAGTTGAAGTTGACCGTGGCCTATCATACACTGGCCCTATTTCAAAGCTTACGCACGTAAATTTTACGTCCGTACGCACGCGAAATTTACGCGACAGTAGAAATCCACCCCAAGACAAGACAGAAGATAGGCGTTATATAAACAAATCAGAGATTTCTGTGAGCTTATTTTTTTTATTAATTTATTATTTCTTTAATTTTAAGATAGTCATCAGATTCTAGTAAAATTTCAAAGCCGGCCTATCCCTAATGCTTTTTCCCTAGGTACATTTTGTAAAATTGCGCATGTGTCAGATCTTTCGACTTTGGTCCTATTCTTAAAACAGTACTAGTATGTAAAGAAGTCATGTACTGTTGAGAGAAGCGGATCAGGTAGAATGTGAGTGCATATCAGAAATCCTGGTAAAAGCCTATTTGATTTTTAGCCACATCCCCTTTGATTTATATCACAAAGACGATCAAAGTAAAGAGAAGAAAGAGAAAAGACTGTCGAAACTGGACAAACTGAGCCGAACAGATAGTCGAGATTGTAAACAACTTGTTTCCTTGACACCAAAATTAAAAGACAAAGTACCTGAACAAACAGATGATTTGATTCTGTCAATTTCTTCTTGCAGTTTCTGGAAGCTGGCGACATTAAACACAGCTCCGTTTTTTCCTGCTATGAGTTTAAGAGTGTTTGTGTTTATTCCGTGGCCAATACCAACTGCTACTATGTGAACTTCCTTTTCCTAAATTGAACACAAGACCGAGAAAAGAAAAGAGGTGAAAGTGCAATAAACAATGCTGCACGAAACCTAAAATGGTGTCGGTTATAGTTAGTAACGTATTGTCATTGAAATTTACTGTCACCTTTCGCCAGTATCCCGCGATTGGTTTTCTTTAAATAAAAAAAATGCATAAGTTGGCTAACAAGAAAAAGGAAAAGTTTCTTTCTTTCTTTCTGTCGTTCTCTCTGGATACTTGTCTGTTGGTTACAGATGTTAAGTTCTTAGGTTATACCGAGGGGTAGTGCCAAACTCCTTTCACCATTGTTAGTTACCAATGGATAGCAAAGTAAATATATACTAGAAGTAAATAAATAAATCTACACGTGAACCTGAACACGATAATCTTACATAGAACGAATGAAATGAATACACATGTAGTTTATTCCACCACGCACTTAATTATCCTAATTTGGCATGCATTCAAGATAGCCGTTTGCATGCTCTTTAACACGCTTTTTGCAGAGTGACGTTTTCCAGCGAACGACGGTAAGTTGCGCTCTCAGTCCCTCGCTGAAACTCTGTCAAGGCATGAACCCGAGCCCCTCCCGGGCCTATAGATATAAAGTGCAATGTGTTAACTGTTCGGTAACCAAAGCCTCCACTGCACCACAAAGAAGTGTTCAGTGAGTTAAGCACAATTATAGTTTTCAGTTACGTGACTTAAATTTTAAAACGAATGTGATATGGTATTAGCTTTCCTTGTTATAACTTAACCGGAACAAACTCTAAACTTTAAGCTACACATGCCACAATATGTTATAAACAGGGATTCACGAAACTGACCGAAGGTGAAAGGTGTCCTTGATAGAAGGAAATATAACAAGTACTTACCTTGAAATCTTTCACTATATTTTTAGAAAATACTGCAAAATCGCGATTTTCCGGCAATCCAATGGGCTTTCCATCAGTCAGGACTAACATTACGTTGGGGCTGTTTTGTCTGTCTCCTCCCGCCTGAGTAAACAGCTCGTCCCGCGCCATTATCAGAGCAAGATCGGTGCGAGTTCCATAACCTTTCGCTTTTTCTGTTGGTTCGCTTTCTATTTTTTTCTCAAGACTGTCCAAGTTGTAGTATTCAGAGTCAGAGAAGTTAAACACCAATCTTGTAAACTTGTCGAATGTGATGAGCCCAAAGTGATCCCCGTCCGGTGCTGGATTGAACTTTCTTACCAGGTCTGCTAGGAACTCGATAACTGTTTCTAAGTTTTCCTTATTGATGCTTCTAGATTTATCTAAAACAATCCCAATGTCTAGTCCGGCAATGCATGGAGGGGCTGCAAAAAATGGAATGTAATTCACTATTACTTCTACTATTCCTACTACTACTACTACTGAGCATTTTTGACAATGAATCATAAATAAAATTTAGGTATCATAAATAAATTCATAGTAATTCAGTTACATCTTATAAAAGTACAATAAAATTAAGCTTATACATGAAATACATGTATGACAAACAACATGGTGGCTACAAAATGGATTGTCAGCCAAGTGATGCGAGGAACTGTAAGACTAATGGGCTTCCAGATTTTACAAAAATAATTCATTTGGCCTCCATTTATTGTAAAACAATATGTTTTTTACGCCCAAATCTTTAAAAATTGTGCCGTTTTTGTCCTTTAGAAATTTACAAGGAATTGCTAAGACAATCGTGATTTTCAATTTTTACGGAAATTCCTCCTTAGATGCCGGGTGATTATTTTTCTTTTTTTTTTGACTTCTCGGAAATAATTGAATTGGCAGGTTTGGCTATAGTTGAGAGTTGAACGATCTCTATTCTCACATGCACTTAATTTACAGTTTGCTTTATCTATAGAAACATATCGCTAAATGTGTGCATAGATCAATGCTAAATAAAAGTTTTATTACCTTATCTACGATTAACTTTTGTCGTTTTCCTGGAAATAATTATAATAAGCGATTTTGAGAGATTTTGCGTTCAAAGTTAATGCGCCTCTTGATAGTATTCGTTTGTGGCGCTTTCGGCGAACTAGTTTATGTTAGAAATTTTGAGGCGAGTCTTTCCTTTGAAGCGACTTGTGGTAAATTGAAATTCCGCGTCCTCGTCTTCCCGTCTTCCTGTCTTCCACTTCAGATATCTCAACCAACACTACTGCACAACTCACACAACCCGGACACGCATGAAAACTTAACATACGCCTGATACAAGAACGCCCAGTCTGACAACGTCTTGCTTAACTGTATGCAATCATGTAATAATGGCATTTTTAATCTCAGGCCCCTAGTCTTGTATTTGCCTTTGTTTTGTTTCAGGCTCGGATTTTTAACAGTTTAATCGGGATCTGGATGGCACGCCTATCAAGTGGCTGTTCTTTCTCTCCTATCTGCAAGGTGCCTGGCATAATCTTGTTTCCCGTGAAAGCAGGAACCGGTGATAGAACGACTCAACGGTCGATATGCTCAGTACAAGACGGATAACAACGCAGCTCTGGTATAGGACTGAATAGACTGAACCATGGACAGAGCTTGACAATAACAAAAAAACTAAAAATATATCGATAATATGCTGGTAATGATAAGCACTAACAAAAAGCAAAAACTTTGATCGTTTTCAAAATTGTGCCGAAAATCATGAGAGATAAGGCATTAATTTTGGCTTTACATCCCAAGACTGCGCGATAAGGAAAATATGATTTTTGATTCTTGCCAGACTTTGTTCTAAAACAATATTAACCATCTTATTTGCATTTCGGGAGTGAACCAAAGCAAACAGTAAAACACTTACGGCACTCTTGTTCATTACAAGAATCTGTCCTATTTGCTGGTCCCAATTCATCGCAGTTTTTTCCACCGTTGGCTGGTGGAGGATTGGTGCAGCTTCTTGTCAACATTTTTACACCTCCTCCACACGACACACTGCATTCAGAAATCGTCCAGTTGGTGTAACCTCCATTCACCGCTGAAAAACACGCAAAATATTAAAAGCACTCTGTTTAAAACGTATGTCTACGTTAGTAGGTTATATGCTGCTACGAGGATTATTTGGAGTATTCGATTCGATGCTCTGTGCGATAACTTTTTTCGCGGGAACAGAGCCAGAATCCTCGAACGGACAAGAAAGGCTATGTTGCCTGCTCGGGTGGCCTAAAAGAACACAGATTTTGCTTCATCTTGCTCGCTTGTGAGAACATAACGCGACGAAAGTGACCACGTTGTTCGCAGGTCTAAAAACCGATTTGACCAATGGCAGAGGAACAAATTCAGCACCGGAAGTCGGGCTCAGTCCTTTCTGCGCACTATTTCTTTCTCATTTGACGTAGCGTTGTCTTTGAGAAATCTGCTATAAAAAAAAAAAAAAATAAAATACTTACGACATAAAGCATCTAATACTTCATTAAAGCGTTTGGCCAGAATGTCAAAATCCGGATATCCGAGCACTTGTCCCTTTTTACCAGCCATTTCTTTCATCTTGTTTCTGTATTCTTTCTTCTCCCAGTGTTTGCCGAGTATTCCAACGACAACGATGCTTACATCCTCTTTCTGGATAGAAGTAAGGACCAATGTGAAGCAAATAAACATCAAAACTAAACTGGTTACAAAGATTTGAGGAGAGGAAGAGGGTGATTGAAAGGCGCATGACATCGGCTCCATTTCCCTCTCGTCAACGGAGGCTGCTATTTTCAAGACACTCAACCCAGGTTCGAACTCGGATTTTTCGTAACCGAATCTCTCTCTCCTTTCCATTAGACTACCACACCAACCCGCCAAAAGTCCGAAACATTTAAGTAGATAAACTAGCAAACTATCTTTCTAAACCGAAACATCAATAATAGACATGCATAATAGGTGACCCTAACCCTTTCGACAACTTTTAATGAAAATAGAGAAGAGAAGTGTGACGTCACGTTACTACTAATGGTAAGTTTCTGGATTACAACAATAGGGAGCTCTGCAACAGCAAAAAGCAGTAAGTTTAGATTGGTAAAAGAACAACTTGCACGTGCATCACGCTTTTTTGTACATGATTTCTTCGCCGTTGTTGCACGACTGCGACATGAAACTTCTTAATTTCACCGCCCTCTTCAAGGTCGAGTGGGTGAACACAACACAAAAATTTTCTTTTCTTTTTCTTAACTTAGATACGGTCTTTTCAGATTCAATCCAGAAAATTTCTCCAAAATTTGACAAATTAAATGAAATTAAAAAGATCGATGAAGTTTGAAACAGTGCGACTCCACTTTTTAAGTGAGGTTTTGATTTGTTGTCATCCAGAAATTTTGCTACCATGGCAACGTGACGTACAACTTCTCCTCTCTATTAAACTTGGGCTGCAACGTCGTTATTTCTAAAACTATTCAAAAACGTATTTGCCTTTTTGTAACTTGATCCAGGGAATACAAGTGTATATAATATTACATCTATCATGACTAAGGCTTGGGTCCCCATGGTGGCATCAACTGTGTTAAATGACAACGGCCGTTTTACAATAAAACTAGGAGTGGAGCTTAGGAGAGTGCGTTCGATATGTTTGTTGAGGCGGAAGGGTGGTTGCGATGTAGATAAATATGATTATGGCATATTTTGAAGGTAAGGTTGCGTACAGCGAACCTCTATTTAAACTGTGTATCATTTTAAGGACGTTTTCAAAAGATATCGTATGGTTCGGTGTCAAGTGCTTTGAATCGGAGGAGACATTGGCCAGCGTCGGACATGTAAATGGAACATTTTGTTTTACTGGCGCGAGTTACAGGGCGCAGTTTCTCAGAGACGGATTAGTTCTTAACCCGGGATTCTTTTTCTTTCTTCAAAAACATTTCTTCGGATAATTTTCTCTGTTATTTTTAACAGCATCCAATCATCAACTTGTTGACAAAATGAATTACATTGAATTTACTGGTTTAAAAGTGTTCACATCTGAATTCAAACTTCGCACTAACCCTATCAAAGCCTTCAATGGAACGTGTATGCGGCTCACGTCAATAACTTTTCCAGTAATTTGGTCGAGCGTGTTGATTTCAGTGACTCGAGAGTGGTGCTACTCTGGGCTAATTTATAAGTTTTTCCTAATAAATAACATAGAGTTAAAGTGTTCGTTTGTCCGGTGCCGAAAATATCACAAGTCATGGTCAAATGGCGCCGTCGAGCTTCACTTCTCGGTAGATTTACTTTGTGGCACAACGGCTGCCGAGCTACACAACTCGTAAATTTGCTTTGTGACAAAACGGCCGCCGAGCCACACAACTCGGTAAATTTACTTTGTGGCATAACGGCCGCCGAACTAAACCCGGTTTGATGCATGCACCAGTAGTCGCAGACATTTTCCAAAGACAGTGACGAATCATGCTGAAAAATATGAAGGCTTACTCCAAAGTAAAATTTAACAGCAAACTCCTGAAAGATGAACGCTTTAGACGATTCAGCAATCACAGATCGATGTACGCTTTACGAAGACTCAGCACACTTTTTAACATTTGAACGCTTTACGAAGAATATCAGACCTTAGCAAACCTTTGAAAGATGAACGCCGAGGACACAAGAATCACCACATGAGTTAGCGCGTCAAAGTGAGCCAAAACTTAAGCAAGCGCCTCAAAGCGAGGCAAATGTGTGTCGACGACGACGACGAACGAAGATGAAATCTCAAAAAACCTCCCTTATTAATTGCACAGGTCACCCGATAATGCTCAGAACACCCAACACAAATTAGGGGTTGCGTTCTCGTACCTCGAACGCAAATACTTCATGGAAAGTGCGGGCGTACGGCATTTACGCACGAGTTGTTAACGGAGATTTCTGGTACAAAAACGAGTGCGTATATACCGTTCAAAGCACTTTCCACGCGGTATTGTGTTTGTTGTATACATACTAAGACATCCATCATTTTGGCGGCCTTTTTATTACGAATCTTTCCAAAACGCTAAGATTTGCTGCTACACATGCACCGCGGAAAGACAAATTAAACGAATCGAAACGAAGCATCACCTTATTATTAAAAACTTTTGTTAGTAATATTGACTTTTTGTTCTGAATACACACTTAAAAATGAATGAATTTAAGTGAAATGACCGATTTGAATATAAGCTTAAGTATGCTCATTTAGAGGACAAAGTAGCTCGGATAAAAAGCACAACTTTTAACAGCTTACATCTTGTTCTGTTTTGCCCCTTCCGCTGTAGTCTAGCAGGCTTTTCACAATTCTCTTCATCGACAGAAAAATACACGAAACTATTCCACCCCAATTTCCGAGGTGGTTTTTCACTTTTTTACGAGAAAAACTTTTCTCTTTGAATGTAGGCTCTCGCAATTCTTGCTATTGTCGTCTCTCATTCTCGGTTATTTTTTCCTCTAAAAGATCACTTAAAAAAATTAAAGTACAAACTTGTACATGATAGGAGGCAAAGATCAATGCACAAAACAATTATTTTAAACAAAACTAGATAATTTAGTAATTTATGGAAATACAACTGCAAGTGATGAATGAGCGGAAATTCCGATGCCCTTTTAATCACGTTTTTCAACACGAGTGGCTTGCAATCGGAAGGGCTTTTCTATGGAGAGGCTTACATACTACACTTACATACTTTATTGTTACCTCCCTAAATGGGCGTGGGAGGAAATTCGCGTTTCAAAAACTGCTGAGCATGTATTTCTGATAAACTATGTTAGAAACGTTTCCTCTTGTTACTGGTAATGTAAACTGACTTAACAGCAAAAAGTTTCCTGATATAAGGGGCTCTCACGTATGTCAGGGGCTTATACACGGAGACGGTTTTTGTCAGAGGTTATTTAGGGGGTTGTGTAAATCGAAAGGGGCATATTTAGGGTTTTAATAGTAATCAAGAAAATAATGACTTACCTCCAGTTTTTCTGTGCTCTGTGAAAAATTTTTGAAGGGTTCCTTATCCCTTTCTGCTATATACTGTAGTCCATCCGTGAAGACAAGAAGGATGTTTTTTGCATCTGCTCTGTCTCCTCCTTCTTTAGTAAACAGCTCTTTCGCTGCCCGGTATAAAGCAATATCTGAACGAGTTCCCCATTTTAGACTTTTTGAAATACGGATTTTCTCTTCGATCAAGCCTTTAAGGGCCTTTTGATTGTAGCGGCTCTGACTATTAAACTTGTTGTGGATTCTTGCGTAATGGTCGAAGGTCATAAAAGCGTAATGGTTTCCTTTAGGAGAGACTGGGTATTTGTCTATGAATCTGTAAATCAATTTAGCTAGTATACTTCTTTGCTCTTTTGTCATGCTTTTTGAAGTGTCAACCAGGACAGCTATATCCATTTTCTCAGAACAGTTACCTAAATGAAAAAAGAAAACAAACATTTTATCGTGCGGAGGAGGAAGAGGTCGCAGGGAGTGACCTCTATGGATAGTTGGGAGGGAGGAGGGGGGGGGAGTATTGTGGAGCAACGATCGTGTTGGTGTGGCACAGTAAACCCCGCATTTTCAACACACTGTGAGCAGAGGCGTTGTTACGTTAAAGAATCCAATTCCCACGCGCCACAATTCAGGTTGTTGGCGCCGAATGTCCTCTCTCAGACGCCACAGAAGGGAAACTAAAATTCGGCATCAATCAGATAGTGCGTCCTTAAGGGTCGATTTTGCGGTTAACAACCCCGTGAAGTCACAAAAAGTGACGAGCGTAGTTTTGTTCGAGCTCCTGACCTGCCCTGCCTTCTCCAGTTTGGTCTTGGAGATGTTAGGGTCTGCTGTTATTTCTAGGTTAGAGCCGCCTGTAGACTGCCAGTGATCATCCTGGAAATAAAGGTTGGATCACCTTAAGCCTGTTAAAGTCTACGCAGATTTCAACACGGTGCCGCCTCTGCTCGGCGGTGAGAGCCTGGGCGAGAATTGAGACGCAATGCATGTTCAAAGTGGACGTGATTATGTGGAGGGCCCGAACTAATCCATTTGACACGTTAACAATATCAGCAACTTCTTTGATGGTGACGCAAAATTCTAGCAATTTCTTAGACATTTTCAGTGGTTATTGTCGTTGATGGTCGCCCTGAACTCTCGTCATCCTCTAATGATGTTCCTCTACTCAAGAAGTGCGAGTACCACTCAGAACACCTCACCGGGTTGGTTCATATCCGTAGGCCTAGCATTTCAAAAGTCTCCGTTCCCGATTTCTTAAGTTTAACGCAGAATTGGGTGTTTGTGTTCTTCTCCAGTCTGAGGGTCATTATAAAATCGTATATGAGCACATGGTCGTGGTCACAAAAACATGTAAAGCTAACCTAGCTCGGAATTTTAAGAGCTTGACGCCACGTGGCATGCTGGCTTGCACCTGATCAGTTTTCTCCTCATTTTTATTGCGCGCTCATGACTTTTTCCGTGCTTAGTTTGTACGAATTTGGAACAATCTTGTAACTTTTTACGCACCTCATACAGTGGCCGAATTTATACTAGAAACAAATTATCTCCGTAAGATGGAGATATAAATCCAGTTTTCAGACGAATTTTGAATTCAAATGAACAAGACTGGGGCCAACATTCGCCTGAACACCGGATTTATCATGGACGATTTATCCAACAAGTTGCAATCACTTATCACTTTAAGAACTATGCACAGCTTTATTTACATTAACTTGTAAGTTAATATAAATTCGATCGATGTACGTGGTTTTTTGGACGCAAAATATGATTTTACGTTTTCCTGTTATTTCTGTTGTTGTGTTGTAGTTGCTTTTCAATGTTTCCATGTAACCGCTAATTTTAAAAGATAAAAAAGGCCCCTAGTTCGTGAATATCCTGTAACAAGAGACAGCTAAAGAGACCGCGAAATCATGACAGTCGAATTCGAAATTCTTCACAGGTCTTCACAGTGAAATTTTTGTTATTTTCCTTCGGGAAAAGTGATCATAACAAAGCTATAACCAGTATCAAACACGACAATGAAACGGACTTGGTGAATTGTTCTCCAGATCGGATTACGACTCGACAACCGTCACGGCAGCAAACTTACAACTGCCACTGATACTAAGCAATGATAATAACGATTTGTTTCGTAAGCTCAGTTGTAAGCACATCGGAAGCGCGTACATGGAATAAATTTGGGACATCAACCTATTGTTTCACTTACCTTGTACTTGATCGATATCAACATCTGAAAGGGAACATCATGAGCCATATTTAAAGTATTACTGGCAAAGATGACAGAAATGTAAAAGTCTCAGTGAAGGTAACTTATATTTAACTTCGAGAAAGAAAGAAAGACAAAGGCTAAAAGAACATTAATAGAAGGCTAGATCGAGGGAGGGCACCCCGGGGGAGCTCAATCAAGAGCCCATTATGACTTTTGGCTCAATCTTGTTTGGGTTGGCCAAATTGAGGCCCACAGGACGGAAAAAATTATTTTCGAGGCCGGGCATCTCGTTATTGTAGTGTTTAAAGAAACAGGCCATTCACTTATTTGAAACTTTGACTTCGTTAATGACTGTGTATCTTTTCGATTGGTAATTTAGGTCTTGGCCAGATGAACCTATACAATCCAATGCAATAACTTTATTAACATGTTTCATTTAGGGTAAATTTAAAATCAGTTGCAAGAAGCAGAAAAACCTAATTATGTACGGTACTAAAATTTCTAATAATTATATCTATAAATACTAATTATCATAAAGATGTATTGCAACGATCAATATAATCTTGAAAACATTAAGTCAAATTCCCTACGGGCAGGACGTTTAAAAAGATCAATGTTCATACTGATCTTGGTGTCTTCGTTTAACGTTATTCCATGATGCTATTGATCGATAGAAAAATGATCTCTGTACTGCCTAGATTCTCCTAAATGCAGTGTTCAAGTGATCCTTCACCTTTCTGTTGTATTGTGACTGTGGATTTTCAGTGTTAAAGTGCTTAACCTGTGATACTATGAGGTTGTGTTCAGTACCGCTGATATATAATACCGCATACTCAGAAAACCTTTTGCTGACGTTCTTGTAAGATATATATATTTGGTGCTCGTTTTGGAGCTAAGGACCAACACATAACCAACATGGGCTCAAAGTAACTTGCAGCAAGGAAATGTAAAATTTCAGAAAACCATGGATACATCACGAAGCAGGGATATCTCCTTTTTTGCAAGCCACCCAGACAAGTTCTCTAAAGGTTGTTGAAATATGATCATATTTCCTTTTTCCAGTTTTTAGTGTCCCGGCGGCAAGCTTCTGCTATTACCCATAAAAACGAATACCTCGTGATTAGGACTATATTCTTTCGGTCTAAAGGTAAGACAAAATTCGTTTTGATACGACCACGTTGATGATCGTATTAACGAGGTTACTTCATTTTTAACAGAGAATAATTATAGCTTAATGCGAAAAAAACCTAAAAATGCCTTGGCTGTTTCTTCCTCGGAAATAAAGGAAATGTTTGTTAAGAAGGGTACAGTCAAGTATATTGGTTGGGGTAAAATGCTTCTATATTATTCTCTAAAATACAATGAAGAGTTAATCATACTTACGCGAAAACACGCCCAGAATTATTACAGCCAAAATCAACAATGTTTTCATCGCGTCTTTAACTAAAGAAAATCATACAACATATTAAGAGTTTCCTTGAAAATGACACTTTTTTTACTCAAAAAAGTATGCTAAGCCTGAAGACTTTTGTTCTTGGTCCATCATGGCTTGATCAAAAGTGAAACACAAGCAGCGGCGATCATAAGCATTGTGAACGTTTCCATTTTTTATGTGCGTTTTCAAAAGTGATCAAAAGAGACAATTACAGATTATGATGAAACTATTTATACAAAGTTACAATTTTATTGTTGAGAATTTTCTTAATCTCATTCCCAGAAACCTTGTCAATTTTGCATAAAAAATTCATTATAATCTGTGACGATCACTTTTAATAACTTTTGAAATTGCCGTACGTTGACGAGAGCCGAAACGTTAAGTTTATACAAAATTGCAAAAGTTCACTATTTTTTTCACCACTGTTTGTGTTTTAGATTTGATTATCCTGTGCTTAGAAATGGAACTGTCACTAGAGACCTTGGCGACGTCCATGAAAATGTCACTGAAAAATAGACTCCGCATCCTTTCAAACCATTTCGCGATTTTCCCAAGTCGCCCTGTTACTTAAAAGAAAGGAATTTAGGCTGGAACTGAAGATAGGGGGCCGCACCCGAGTTCAGACAGAGATGGCAGAATTTATCGCCTTGTCTTTCCCTTCCTCAAAAAAACTTAAAATTTGTTCATTTTACGTTGTAGTTGTGCAGAGACGGCAAAGAAATGTTCAAAAAAGCGTGATGCACGTGCAGAGTTGTTCTTTTGCTAACTAAACCTATTGCCGTTCTAATTTCGTAAGGGTCTCTAATAGAGTGTTTTCACATGACGACCATATTGGTGTCCCAAAACAATGAAACGGCGACATGGGTTCCAAAATTCCTGCAAGAAGACTTATTCCATTTCTGCGAATGAGGGAAATTTAAAACATTGAAGCGACTACATGAATCGAGTAAGACTTTGTTGAGCATGCGCTGCTTGTTGCTGGCCGTGATACTCTCTGTTATGAACCCTGCCCAAATATAATTATAGTCAAGAGATTAATTTTACAAATAAACAGATGGTCGCACTCGGAAAACCAGTGTGACGCAAGAAAGCAAAATTTATTAGTTTTAGCCTGCGTTCCTTGCGGAGGAGCCGCCAGGCAATGCCAGCGGCGAAGCCGAGAGGGAAAATCCCGTCTGCCACCTTTCTTATGAGTTTTGCATGTCGCCCACTTTTGAAACCTTGGTTGGAAATATTTCATTACCCAATTAGCAAGAGCGGTGTAATACGAAACTGACCTGCAAACGAGCCAGGCCAAGCGTAACAAAACATTAGCAGAAAATCCGAGACACGGACAGAACAACTAACTACATGTAGCACGTTATTTAGGATCTAGGCAGGGTATTCTACAGTTACTCCAAATTGAAGAAACTAAAACCTTTACTAAACGATCATTTAGCCTCAATAAAAAGCTTAACGGAGAGGTCAAATAATTCTCTATTTAACTGCTTCAAAGGTCAAATTCAGATAGAGACAAAAACCACAGGAAATCAATGCACAGGACACATATCGGCCTCATGACATGATGACATTTGCTCAGTCAAAACGAAGAATCCTCCACATCATACTCCACCCGCCAGGAGCCCCTCACCCGCTTTTCTAAGGTGTCAGCGTTGAAAGGGGTAGGGGATAGGGAGGAAAGGAAAACGGGAGGGGGATTAGGGAGAGAGGGTAAGGGACGCCTGTTATAAAATTAAAAACCCCCTTTTAGTCACTGGCTGAGCCATATATCATGTGTAACTTATTGGGGTGTATCCTGGAGTGTCTTAGCGAGAGGCAAAATGAAACATGATGCAGGCATTAAGGAAATAGGGAAATGCGGTTCTGCTGGCATCATAGGTAGCCCAAGCTCGAAGTATGAGCATCGGCGAGCATCGGCATCGTTGCGTAACATTCGAAATATGAAACCTATCGTTCCTTTGTAACCTACGAAAATGAAAGGATTTTAATAAAGCCAATAAAAAACAGTTTACCTTACATAAAATGTGTGTTACGTCTCTCCTGTGTGACCCATGGGCCGATCCATGGCCGTTTTATGGGTTGTACTGTAAACGGTTTTCCTCTCCAAATTCTAGAGAGAGCCCAGAGAGAGCAAACCGGCTCCAATAACCCCCTATTAAATGGCCATAACTCGGCTGGGAAACCACACAGGAAGGAAGAAACACAAGAGTAAGCAAGGTTAGTCGATATTTATTTAATTCCTTTTACATTCGTAGGCTACAGAAACAATTGTTTCTCTCCCATACAAATCCTTATATTTTGAACGTTACGCAACAGTGCCGATGGTCATATTTCGAGCTTGGGGCACCTGTGCTGTCATAAGCTTTGGAAGATCAAAATTACACCAATCATGTAGCAACTTCACGTTAAAACTGGAAAAGAACCAACTGTAATAGCTTGTTTAGCAGGCAGAGATGCTCAGACGGATTTTGTATACTGGATCTGTCCAAAGACTGAGCGACAATTCAAGGCGATTGCGATTCTTGCCAGACATCTGCAATGCCGATATTCACAGGCAGTCACTAGACCGTATGCCTTTTGTCTGTGCTATTTAACATGATTGTATTTTTGGTGGTAACGGCCGACCATAGGTAATTATCGGAAATTTCGAGAAACGGTGCTGAGGTAAGCTCCTGGGAAACCATTAACGTTCAAAGACTGAAACCAATTGCAAAGATTCGTTTCCTTAAAGACTTAAAGGGGATTCATCTTTAAAATTAGTAACACAGTTGATAAAACCAAATTTACGTTTTTCACCACGCTCAAGCGAACGGAAATTATTTTTCCTTTAAACGCTGCAGAAATAATGGCAAATCAGTGACTCGTTATGATGGTTGGATGCTTAGGCAATCTAGCCCGAGGAAAAGACGAAGAATGAGTTTCCTACCTTTATACAAAAAGAATGCATCCGATTATAAGCTCTTCCCGGCTATAAGCCCCCTCTTCTAGCTTGTATCGAAATATGGATTCCATTTATTATGACGTTTGGAGGTTTTATGAAATGCCCAGTAAATGCAAAACGTATTTGCCTAAGCTCTGCTGTATCTTGTTTCGGTCCGGTTGTACGCTCCCTCGGATAAAAGCCTCTCCTTTTATGATCCCGCCTAAAACCCCATACAAAGAGGTATAAGCCCAGCCGGCTTATTAGCGACAGTTGCCACGGTTTGTCATGTTATTTTCCATTACACGGACTGCAGGAGTGACTATTGCTACTCATTAAACCGCAAAATATCGCCACACTGATAAGAAAATGAGAGTTGGTTGGGTTCAGTGATTTTTAACGAAATCTCCGTTTCAGATCAGAGCACAAGACAGTCATTTTAAGATTTTAAAGCATACAGAGATAAAGCCGAATTCTAGTCAAAACAACAAGAGTGTTGTTTGTGAAGTCTTTTAAAAGTTGATTTCAACGTAAATAGTAAATCGTCTGTTTCGCAATTTTCTTGTATCAGCATTCTAATGATGGCGGTTTATGTTCATACGTCAATATTGCATTTTGCAGCAAGAAGAGACAAATTAAGAAAATAAAAATGACACATTATTTAAATAAGATGTATGGGTAATCATGGAGGACTGGTCAAACACGTTTTAAGTCCAGAATTCACTGCTCAGGCGTTGGAAAAAAAGTGGAGAAGCGATGGCTGCATGTCCAATGAAATAATCGTTTGCTTTCATTTCAGTTCGGGTTTTATGTATAAATTAAAAATCCCACCTTCTCCTCACGGGAAGTTCGCCAGCAACTTTTCAGAAGTCGCTTTTGTCTTTTGCCATTATCACAGCATTTTAAAAGAAAAGTATGCAATTGTCTGTTTTTTCAATGAACGCAAAGTCATGTGTAACTTTTTGTCTGCCATGCTGCTAACCAAATGTGCTAACTTCCACGTAAAGGAGTTATATAATTCTAGTTGTAATCAATGCAAATTTGAGATTTGAATCTCCCTTAATGCTAAGTTAAAATTATCGTATCGAATTTTTCTTATCAAAATCATGCTGAGACATGCAGAACGTAATCTGAAGAAGTGAAGAAAGAACACCATGATAGACGAAAAGAGCGCTGATCAACTTGGCTTAAGACAACTATTTCTGACTGGACATGCTTGAAATACGCAAAGGCGTTTCCTACATTTGTATGTGAAATATAACACAAGACAGTGTGATTCGACAAACCAAATGACATAAATCACTTGATTATAGAAATATATTGCCAAAACTCACCTGCTCAATGATAGGCCCAGCAAAAAAGACAGTTCAGGTAACAGAGGGTACTGATTTAAATAATGATTGAGTCGCCTATGCGAAGTCAAGTACAGTAGAAGACTGCCGGCTACTGTGAGGCTACCGTGTACCATAAAGAGAGAGCAAACAATACCAACTCTTTCTTATTGGCTGCGAAGTGTTTGGATCTTTAAATAACCAACAAAATATCTTCAATAAAAACCATTTTAAATGCAAATGATCATTAAAGAAAGAATATTCAATGCACCGAGATTCTGGATCGCTGGTCATTTGGTTTGGTTCAGTGATTTCGTAAGAGTTCCCCGGTCTGGCTATTAAAGTTACACACGTAGGATTCAGGAGAAAGCAAGAGGACACTGACCTTAAGATGTAAGGAGACTGATCTCAAGGTGTATGAAAAGTCGAAAGACTTATTTGTAGGTTTAAGTAGAATCTTTAAAGAACCTCCTACTTAGACTGCGGTTTGAAATAACGTGAGGCACCGTTTCCGTGTGGGTTTTAATTGTTTTGCGAGTTGGTTGGGTTCAGTGCTTTTAAAAGAAAACTCCGTTTCAGGTCATAGCGTAAGTTGTCTAAGTTAGTCATTTGGAAGAACACTGAAATAAAGCCAACTTCGTATCAAAAGAATAAGAATGTTATTTGTTAAGGAAGTCTTAAGAGTACTTCTAGAAACTTCCTATCACAATATGTTCTTGAAAGACATACGCTTTGGAATTTACTTATCAGAGATTGATTTCAGGTTAACGCTTCGTTAATTTACAGTCTAGCAATTTTCTTCTGTACTCAGCATGCTTTTGGCATGGTGGTCTATGATCATTCGACATGCATTGAAAAAGTTTTAATCACCGACGAAGGCCGTCGAATCAGTCGTTAGCTTTTATTAACTCTGGTTAAATAAAGTTACTGTAAAATGAAAAACAGCTCCTCCGCCATGGGCAGTCTCTATTATTCACGAATATAGATTTTAAAATTACAGCTCGTAAGGGTGCCATGCATTTTATTAGTAAACATTTATGGAGTTATTTTTTTTACAAACTTCAATTTGGTTTTAATAAATCCGCTTTTGATATCAAACTACTTGCATCGGCATACCTTGTATCAGTACCACGAGCAGACGAGTAAATCATAATTTGGATATTCTCTCAAAAAGAATTGTGCATGTGTCACAAGAATCAAAGAAAAAAAATCATGACTTTAAAATACTCCAATAAGAGTTCTGATCCCTTTAGAACTGAACAGCCATTTCTGACTGGTCATGCTTGAAATACCCAAAGGCGTTTCCTTCATTTGTATGCTGAATATAAGACAACATTATGATTTTACAAAAAAAAGAAGAGGACAATGGTGACGGACTGTATGTAGTGGCCAATGTGAAGTCCAGTAAAAGACAGTTTCCGAGGTCTCTGCTGATTATTAAATAACAAGAGAACAAACTGATTGAAAAAACTCTTTTTTTTCAAATAAACTGTGAAGTGTTTGGACCTTGGATAATGTATTACAGTAGAACCTTGATAACTCGAACTCGGATAACTCGAATTCCCCTCCAACTCGAACCTGAATTTGACAAATTTCCTTTCTCTTGGTCAAACTTTCACTGAAATTTACCCTGATCGACTCAAATTCCCCGCTGACTCGAAATGTTTTTCGTTTCCCTTCAGAGTTCGAGTTACCGGGGTTCTACCGTAAATAACTTTAACCCAAAGTATTTTAAATGGAAATGAGCATTAACAAAGGGGATTAAATGCACTGGAATTTATGCCCGTTCGGCTTCCATTATTTTGGTTGGCCGGTTCAGTGATTTAGAAAGTTCCAGCGGTCCAGCATGAAGAGACGTTTATTGAAATATGACATTAAAAATTATTGCCCGGTGACATTAAAAAAATATGACATAATAATATAACAATCCATCGATCGCGGGGCTCTTGTGATGAACGTTCTCATACGGTCTGTAATTAAACAAGGGTGATTGTCGCTCTGAAATATTTAACTGGTTCAAGGCCAAACAACTCTTCTGCGCCCTGTAGAAGCTCTGGAAAAGAGAATGCCTATTCCCTGGAGAGAGAGACGACGGGGAGAAGAGGTACCTTAAGAACGAACGATTCCTATTGACTTTAAAGAAAGATGACTATTATTTGATTTGCGAAGTCGCCGGTGATCACTGTGTTATTTTTGGAAGGGAAGGGGGTGGGGGGGGGGGGTTGTGCCGTATTTTAGTTAATTGTTGAGGAATACATGGGCGTAAGGAGTCCCCGCTCGCACAGTATACTTTATCCACCACTGACCCCTCCTCTTTGCTCTCGCGCTTCTCGCTTATATTTGTCTTTAAAGGGACTGTGACACGCTTCTGCGCATGTGCGGCATCCTGATTTTTGTTCTGGCGAACGTTTTTTTAAGATTGGCTTTTGGTGAAGAAATCCTCTTCCATCGACCCTGAGACGCCCGAGAAAGTCATAATATCAGTATTCAAGAGCTATTTGGTCCATATTTTGTATTTCTGTGCAAGGGAGAAGTGCACGAAGCCATGTTCGTTGTTGTCAGCGTTCCCACAAACGGATCAGGTGTGGCGTGTCATGTGGTCATCTGGCTTTCATTTCTGTCCATTAAGTTCTCCAGTCAACGAGGCAAAATGAAACATGATTCAGGCATTAAGGAAATAAGTAAATGTGTTCTACTGGGATCACAGGTAGCCCAAGGTCGAAATATGACCATCGGCAAATATGAGGATTTGTATGGGAAAATGAAAATGTAACCTAAGGAAATGAAAGGATTTTAATAAAAAACAGCTTACCTTACATAAAATGTGTGTTACGTCTCTCCTGTGTGACCCATGGGCCGATCCATGGCCGTTTTATGGGTTGTACTGTAAACGGTTTTCTCTCTCTGTATAAGGTTTATTATAGAGAGCAAACCGGTTCCAATAACCCCCTATTTAATAAATGGCCATATATCGGCTGGGAAACCACACAGGAAAGAAGAAACACAACTTAAGCAAGGTTATCCGATATTTGTTTAATTCCTTTTACATTCGTAGCCTACAGAGACAATTGTTTCTCTCCCATAAAATCCTTATATTTTGAACGTTACGCAACAGTGGCGATGGTCATATTTCGAGCTTGGGGCACCTGTGCTGGCATAAGCTTTGGAAGATCAAAATTACTCCAATCATGTAGCAACTTCACGTTAAAACCGGAAAAGAACCAACTGTAATAGCTTGTTTAGCAGGCAGAGATGCTCAGACGGGTTTTGTAAACTGGATTTGACCAAAGACTGAGCGACGATTCAAGGCGATTGCGATTCTTGCCAGACATCCGCAATGCCGATATTCACAGGCAGTCACTAGACCGTATGCCTTTTGTCTGTGCTTTTTAACATGATTGTATTTTTGGTGGTAACGGCCTCCCTTAGGTAATTATCGGGACTTTCGAGAAACGGTCCAGAGGTAAGCTCCTGGGAAACCATTAACGTTCAAAGTCTGAAACCAATTGCAAAGATTCGTTTCCTTAAAGACTTTAAGGGGATTCATCTTTTAAATTGGTAATACAGTTGATAAAACCAAATTTACGTTTTTCACCGCACGTTCAAGCGAACGGAAATTATTTTTTCTTTAAAAGCTACAGAAATCATGGCAAATCAGTGACTCGGTATGATGGTTGGATGCTTAGGCAATCTAGCCCGAGCAAGAGACGAAAAATGATTTTCTTGTTTGTTATAGAAATACTCACTAACTGTAAACTGTAAACTTCCCCTTAAAAGCCCCCCCTCCACCCCCTAGTTATAAGCCCCCCAGTTAGAAGGCCCTACCTTTATACAAAAAGAATGCATCCGATTATAAGCTCCTCCCGGGTATAAGCCCCCTCTTCTAGCTTGTATCGAAATATGGATTCCATTTATTTTGACGTTTGGAGGCTTTATGAAATGCCCAGTAAATGCAAAACGTATTTGCCAAAGCTCTGCTGTATCTTGTTTCGGTCCGGTTGTAAGCTCCCTCGGATAAAAGCTTCTCCTTTTATGATCCCTCCTAAAACCCCATACAAAGAAGTATAAGCCCAGCCGGCTTATTAGCGACAGTTGACACGGTTTGTCATGTTATTTTCCATTACACGGACTGCAGGAGTGATTACTACTCATTAAACCGCAAAATACCGCCACACTGATAAGAAAATAAGAATTGGTTGGGTTCAGTGATTTTTAACGAAATCTCCGTTTCAGGTGAGAGCACAAGACAGTCATTTTAAAGCATACAGAGATGAGCCGAATTCTAGACAAAACAACAAGAGTGTTGTTTGTGAAGTCTTTAAGAATATATTTTTGAAAGTTGATTTCAACGTAAATCGCAAATCGTCTGTTTCGCAATTTTCTTATCATCATTCTTATAATGGCGGTCTATGTTCATACGTCAATATTGCATTTTGCCAGGAACAAGAGACAAATTTAAGAAAATAAAAATTACACATTATTTAAATAAGATGTATCGGTAATCATGGAGGACTGGTCAAACACGTTTTGAGTCCCAGAATTCACCGCTCAGGCGTTGGAAAAAAAGTGGAGAAGCGATGGCTGCATGTCCAATGAAATAATCGTTTGCTTTCATTTCAGTTCGGGTATTTATGTATAAATTAAAAATCCCAGCTTCTCCTCAAGGGAAGTTCGCCAACAACTTTCCAGAAGTCGCTTTTGTCTTTTGGCATTATTACAGCATTTTAAAAGAAAAGTATCTAATTATCTGTTTTTTTCAACGAATGCAAAGTCATGTGTAACTTTTTGTCTGTCATACGCGCTAACCTAATGTGCTAACTTCTACGTAATGGAGTTATATAATTCTAGTTGTAATCAGTGCAAATTTGAGATTTGAATCTCCCCTAAGCTGAGTTAAAATTATCGTATCGTTTTTTTCTCATCAAAATCATGCTGAGACATGCATAACATGATCTGAAGAAGTGAAGAAAGAACACCATGATAGACGAAAAGAGCGCTGATCAACTTGGCTTAAGACAACTGTTTCTGACTGGACATGCTTGAAATACGCAAAGGGGT